CGACAGACCAGTAAACGATGAGAATATTAGACCGATGCGAAAAATATTTATTTTTGTTGGATTATTTATAGTGGTGATAAATATAGAGACAAATACTTCATAAAGGGTATAACTATATATATTTATTGACTGGATTAGAGGGCAACATACGTTTTCTCTTACCATGGAACCAAACTGTTTTCATAATATCATTTATAGGCTGAAGGCAATCAATTTGGATCTAGGGTCGACAAAACGTATTTTGCCCTATAAAACAGATTGAAATATTTTTTTGGTTAATATCGCGTTTTGCCGTCTGTGTATCTTGTGTTATCTTCCTTGAAGTAAACAGGTAAAACTTGGTAAATTCCGTCACTGTCACACACAAACGAATTCAAATGAGATTTACTCCCCCCCCCCCCACAATGTGACGAAAGCGATCCAACATCTCATCGACAGGTCTAGATCTAATATCAAACGGATTTTTTTTACTGCTAAGTAAACAGTAGATGACTGCGCTTATGAGCACATTTCTAAAGGTATTAGAATACAGGGTTTTTTGAAAAGCAAAATAGTACACTCACGAGATGTATACAGAGCCATATTCTTTAATGGAGACACGTTTTTAAAAATCATTTTTTATAAAAAGAAGAAATGGTACAAATTTTAATAAAGGAGGAAAACATTTTCATAAGATTTTTTGTATTTTTCTTTATATTTTTATTTCAAGTATTAGACATTAAATTGTTGAAACAAACAAATCAGAAGAAATATCAAGAAAACTAATAATCATATAGTACTCCTTTTTCTACATAAATGAAGAAACATGCAAAACGGATATTATACAAATTAATGATGAAAAGATGAAAAAAGGCTTTCATCAAAATCTGTATCATACAGTATTTTGATTGATTGATTGATTGATTGTATATTGTTTAACGTCCGTCTTGAGAATTTTTCACTCATATGGAGACGCCACTACTTGCTGATGGAGAGCTGCAAATTTTGTCCTATGCTCGGCACATCTTTTTTCGTAGCAGCACCTTCTGCGACACGGGATGGATCTCGGTTTATACGGTCTCATCCGATGGACCGGTCTACACGTTCCACGGTGGGATTCGAACCCATGACTTAAGGATCAAGTCCTTACTTCGACATTATTTTGATGAAGACATTGAAATATAAAACATATATAATGCAATATATCATTTGCCTTTTTCTAAGAACCTTATTTGTTACTCCTTTTTAGCTCACCTGAGCCGAAGGCTCAAGTGAGCTTTTCTGATCAAAATTTGTCCGTCGTCTGTCGTTGTCGTTGGCGTTGTTGGCGTCGTTGTCGTAAACTTTTCACATTTTCATCTTCTTCTCAAGAACCACTGGGCCAATTTAAACCAAACTTGGCACAAAGTATCCCTGGGTGAAGGGGATTCAAGATTGTTCAAATGAAGGGCCACGCCCTCTTCCAAGGGGAGATAATTATGAATTAGTGAAAAATTAATAGCATTTTAAAAAAAAATCTTCTTCTCAAGAACCACTATGCCAGGAAAGATGAAACTCATGTGGAATCATCCTCAGCTAGTGTAGATTCAAGTTTGTTCAAATCATGACCCCTGGGGCTAGGGTGGGGCCAAAATGGCCGACCAAAGTTTTACATGGGAATATATAGGAAAATTCTTTAAAAATCTTCTTCTTAAGAACCACTGGGCCAGGAAAGATGAAACTCATGTGGAATCATCCTCAGGTAGTGTAGATTCAAGTTTGTTCAAATCATGACCCCCGGGGCTAGGGTGGGGCCAAAATGGCCGACCAAAGTTTTACATAGGAATATATAGGAAAAATCTTTAAAAAACTTCTTCTTAAGAACCACTGGGCCAGGAAAAATGAAACTCATGAAGAATCATCCTCAGCTAGTGTAAATTCAAGTTTGTTCAAATCATGACCCCTGGGGCTAGGGTAGGGCCAAAATGGCCTACCAAAGTTTTACATAGGAATATATAGGAAAAATCTTTTAAAAATCTTCCTCTCAAGAACCACTGGAATTTGAAAAATGAAACTCATGTGGAATCATCCTCAGGTAGTGTAGATTCAAGTTTGTTCACATCATGACCCCCGGGGCTAGGGTGGGGCCAAAATGGCTAACCAAACTTTTACATAGGAATATATAAGAAAAATCTTTTAAAAATCTTCTTCTTAAGAATCATTGAGAAAGGAAATATGAAAATAAATGAAATTATCCTCAGGTAGTGTAGATTCAAGTTTGTTCAAATAATGACCCCTGGGGCTAGGGTGGGGCCAAAATGGCTGACCAAAGTTTTACATAGGAATATATAGAAAATTTTTTCAAAAATCTTCTTCTCAAGAACCACTATGCCAGGAAAGATGAAACTCATGTGGAATCATCCTCAGGTAGTGTAGATTTAAGTTTGTTCAAATAATGACCCCTGGGGCTAGGGTGGGGCCAAAATGGCTGACCAAAGTTTTACAAAGGAATATATAGAAACATTTTTCAAAAATCTTCTTTTCAAGAACCACTATGCCAGGAAAGATGAAACTCATGTGGAATCATCCTCAGGTAGTGTAGATTCAAGTTTGTTCAAATAATGACCCCTGGGGCTAGGGTGGGGCCAAAATGGCTGACCAAAGTTTTACAAAGGAATATATAGAAACATTTTTCAAAAATCTTCTTTTCAAGAACCACTATGCCAGGAAAGATGAAACTCATGTGGAATCATCCTCAGGTAGTGTAGATTCAAGTTTGGTCAAATCATGACCCCCGGGGCTAGGGTGGGGCCAAAATGGCCAACCAAAGTTTTACATAGGAATATTTAAGAAAAATCTTTTTAAAAAATCTTCTTCTTAAGAATCATTGAGAAAGGAAATATGAAACTTAAATGAAATTATCCTCAGGTAGTGTAGATTCAAGTTTGTTCAAATCATGACCCCTGGGGCTAGGGTGGGGCCAAAATGGCTGACCAAAGTTTTGCATAGGAATGTATAGAAATTTTTTTAAAAAAAATCTTCTTCTCAAGAACCTTTGGGCCAGGAAAGACGAAACTTATGTGGAATCATCCTCAGTTAGTGAAGATTCAAGCTTGTTCAAATCATGACCTCTTGGGCTAGTTTTGGGCCCAAAATGGCTGACCAAAGTTGTACACAAGGATATATAAGGAAACCTTTCAAAATCTTTTCAAGTACTTCAAAGCCATGATTAGTGATATTTTTCTATTTATATGGAATCATCCTCAGGTAGTGTAGATTGTACATTGTTCAAATCATGACACCCAGGAGGGTTAAAATTCAAGCCCCCCCCCCCAGTAAACTTTCAGTTTTGATCTGATATGTGCTTTTTCCTAGTAGATGTGCTCAGGTGAGCGATGTGGCCCTTGGGCCTCTTGTTTTCATTTATTAGTGTTGTGCATCAGTGTGTTTACTATTGATTATGATATTTAAACTTGAAAATGATATTTTCATTCGTAAATAAGTAAGTTATTTACTTTCACTTAAAAAGATAATAAATTTTAAAGCTTTCTCCTTGTAAATACCATACCTAAAGGCTATTTCTTTTTTTTAAATTAAATGCATTTTCTTCTTCTGGGAATTCCTCATATCGAGTTTCTGTAAATTTAGTGTACTAGCATTGATTAATAAAGAACCCGAATAACTGAGATCCTAATTCAATTAGGATGTGATTGTTCTTCCTTTGATCTTTTTATCAAATAATACCTAAAAGTAGGTTTTAGAAATTGTTTAACTAATTTTTTTTATTTAAATCTCTAGATTAATCATATTAATTAACGACTGTTTTGGCTGAATTGAAATTAGTCAATGTTTATGTGAATAAAAAACTTTAAAGAAGGAAGCTTAGAAACGTAAAAAAAAAAACAAACAACAAACAACCTTTTTGTCACTACCATACCTTCTCTCGACTTACAATCCGTCCACTGTATCATATCTTTGTGATTCCTTATTGGAGGAAAAATCTAAGTAAATTCTAAATTTATCTGCAAATGAGAAAAACCTCATTTATATTATGCAAATTCATATTTGTTTGAAGATATCAATCGATTGTAGCATGTTAAAATAAGTTAAATCTTTCCTCGTTCTCTTAGGAGTAAAATAAGAGTAATAGCCCAGGGTTAAAAAAAAATACACATACAGAGGTAAAAAAAAAAAGGTTCACCTGGTTGGTGAATTCTTTAATGTAGTTTAAAACATTAAAGATTGCATATTTCACCAAAGGACCCAGCGACAGCAATGTCCCACTCAATTAACTCATTAGGTATTTTTTCTCTTACGATCATTGGAGCATGATCCTATCATCTTCCTCGTCAAAAAATATGCAATATTTGAGGAAGAGAACTTTAAAGTCTTCATATTCATTTTTTCGTCAATCTGTTAAATAGCTATAATGTGTTTCCTTCGGATTATATTAATCTCTCAGTGGATTTTAGGGGTCTTGGCATATTGTAAGTACACTAGCTACACAATCAATTGTAAGTTAATTTATACTATAAAGTACTTGATTTTTCTTTTGCTGCAAAAACAAAATGAAAGACAAAAATTTGTTTATAAATTGAAACAAAAATCGTTTTTAATTTGACCAAAAAATTGCATGGTACATTATAAGATTTATAAAATCTTACATGATTAAATAATCCACATGTTTCATCGAATTCACGAGGAAGTCAATTTACAAAATCATCAATTCTGACACTCCTGAGGCATCTCAGTGATGAAAAGATCAAGAGGAGTATAGGGTTAGAAAGGGAAAAAAAGGAAATCAACAGACCCAAGGATATTAAGAGTCAAATAAATATGATACAACCCTTAAATGGATGTATAAACGTATATTTACATTTGCAAATGTTTTCCTTTATATAACAATACTGAAGGCAAGCGTTTTTTAACTGTATAAATACAGGTACGGGGTCAAGAGGTCATAGATGTTCGTATGGATAAACGTTCGAAGTAATTTCTCAGTTACGTCATAAAGGGTCGACGCGCGTTCAGTGGAATACAATATGCCGTTGGGTTTGAAAAATAATGCATTTCAAACGTTAAAAGTCACAATCAGGCAAATTTAAAGTATGAATAAGTCACAAATGTAAATATAAGTAATAAGGTATCATTTTTTGAGTTTTATTGGGATGTAAAACGGGTTGGCACATGATCAAATCTTCAATAAAACCCTTCGGGCTTTATAGGATTTGATCACGTTACCAACCCGTTTTACATCCCAATAAAACTCAAAAATGATACCTTATTTCTTAAATGGAATAAATTAATACTTACTGATAGATGAAGCAATATTATGCTTATGAAATAGAGAATGATCAGAAATCAACAAAATAAATAACATATTATACAGTAACAAAACTTAGCGTAGATTTAATAATTAATACATGTATGAAGTTTTCAAACAGTATTCACGGCAAAAACTACATGTATACACAACTCTGCAGCAGAGCAGACATATATATCAGAGATTGGATGATTAGTCATGGAGTAAGCAATCCAATTTGATCGGTCACATTCGCCGTGAAGTATGTTTATAATCGGGCAGATAGAAATATTGGTAGACAATCCATTGTTTAAATAATAATCTAACAGTAAATATGAAAAATATCGGTCAGCATTCGATATCGATATATTGTACCTGCTGACAAGACCACTGTATCGAGAATGCAACTTGCAAAATGAAAATAAAAGTTTTGAAAATGTTTGTACATGTACATGTATGTAGAACATGTCTTTGCGTATTGAATATACATAGACCCCATATGCAGGCGATAACTCTATACTGCTATTGAATATGCAGTAGAAGAGAAGATTATGTTTTACGTATCACTGCATTTTCACTTTATGATCCTTTGTGTCCACTGAAATTCGAATCTTCTTATTCTTCTAAACCTGACTTTCAATGCGTGATGTCCAGGAGTAAAATATATTTACATGTATTATTTGAGATGGTACTCATTTTGATGGATTTAGCTCCACCCCTCAGGTCCGTGAGAAAAAGTTGAACATAGAATACATAATTTTGGTTTCTTAAGCTTATAAGTGCCTTATACCAAAATAAATTTAAATTGGTTCAGGCGTTTCGAAAAAGAAGATGTTGAACATGTGAACATGTTTCATCAAAAAACAAGTACAGGTGTATGTTTTCAAAGATTTCACTTTTCAAAACGAAGTTCCTAATTCTATACTTTGAATGTAAAAACAATACTCAGAAAAACAAAGATAGCAACTGAAAACCCTGTCAATCATACTTTTTTTAAATAAATAATATTCTTTCATGCCTTTTTACAGATTCATTAGAAAATGGGACTGTAGCTAGCCTTAGTTCTACATACAGCGTTTCTTATAACGCCAGTAACGTTTTAGATGATAAACCAGACAAACTGAAATTTATTGAGGGATCATGCTCTCGCACTGATGTCAAAGAATATTCAGCATGGCTCAGAATAGATCTTGGAAATAACTACAACATTCAGTTGGTTAAATTTTGGTATAGGAATGATTGTGAGTATTTGTATGTACAAACAATGTACCTGTCTAGAAAACAATTGCTTCTTGCTGGTAGTATTTTCTCCGATTACTACTTTGATACTAGGAAAACATCCTATGTAAGCTTTAAATATTTTTGTACTTTTTGATCCATAAATTTTATATATTTGATGAGGTATTTTACAAATTATTATACATATACGTATATGAAGCTTAAGTAAAATTCCTTGAAAAACAATTATACAGAAAAAGTTATTTTAAAATATTCAAACATCACAATTATTCATAAATTTCAACAGCAACGGTTTCCACGTCTAGTCTTCAAGGTTACTATATTAGGGTTACCAGTTCTAGCGAATATGGAATGAATTCATGGAATGAAGGTCAAATTTGCTACCAGGATCTAGGCAATGAAACCTTACCCTTACCGGTCTTAAATGAACAAGAATGTCATCGAACGGGTCGCTACGTGTGGATTGTCAATAACAATGCTTCAGAAGAGGACTATCCTTATGTTCATCTTGAAATATGCGAAGTAGAGATTTATGGTGAGTCATATAATTAGCTATTTTTACTCATATGTGAAACAAATAATCTAGCTACAAATAACACTTTGACTTTCTTCCCTTAACCTTAAATTAAGTTTTTCTTGCCAGTAGCAGTCTGAAGCATTTTTAATTAGTTTGTATTCTTGATACTAAACAATCTCGCATATTCTATTTTTTTCATTTACCGACTCATGGGTGTCATTGCAGGCTGTAACGAAAATGAATACGGTGAAAACTGCACAGATTGTGGTCCATACTGTAACTTATGTGATATTCTTCAAGGATGTACAGATTGTAGTGAAAACCATAATGGATCAAGTTGTGAGGACTGTTTGCCAGGGTATAGAGGAATTAACTGCAGTGGTAGGTAGAAACATCAAAAAGTATTTCTTAACCACAAATTCTGTCTGAAATAGATCCACTTTTCTAAAATCCAAGAAAGAATGTCAAAACTATTCTTAAATTTTTCTTCGAATTTCAAAGCATTACATATTATGTAAATCAAATGACATTGCTTTTTGAATTTAAAAAAAAAACAACAATAAATAAGTTAAGAAAGCAAGCCTAAAAAAGTACAGCATACAAATATGAACTACATAAGTATTTTTTAGTAAATGAATAAAGATATATAATTAGCTTTTCGGAGCAATCACGCAATACTACTTTTCTGTATATCCGGTTCCTAACTTAATAAAAAGGATAGAGGTATAAACCAGTTTTAGTGCAGGTTGTAAATTTGATGCAGGAATAGAAAACGCAACTAGGTTAAGGGCTACCCAAAGGTAGATCAGTTATGCAGAACCTCAAGAATTTGATTATGACGTCACAGTGAAATTGTACAAATGAATATCGGTGAATAAATAATAATTTCCTTTTTCATATGCTCTTACGTACTTTGATTACTCATAATTATTGTAAATATAAATCAATGTGTAACTTATCTTGTCATTTTAACACTATCTGAATGTAAAATCAAAGCCAACTTGATCTCGCTGTACTAACAGATATGACGTCATAGGCTAGTTTGACACGCAGTTTCTCTGTACTTGAGACGCAGATCAAGCTATTAGTGGAACTGAAAAAATGAAAATCAAAACTAAATAAGCGTGATCTGATTAAAATTGATTTATTTTTTTGAATGCATTAATCAAAAGTTTACAGTCTTATTTAATTGATAACTATTTGGTCTCTTATAAAGCCGCAGTCATGCACTTTTATACAGAAACGTACTACAATCACAGGTACTACCCCTCAAAAATCTCAAAAGTTCAAAGATATCCGCTTGATTATAAATTATGATATTTTATACACATGTAGCTATTGTCCCTACTATTTTGAAAAGTGCTGGGAGCAAGTTGAGCGCTGTTGATTTTTTCCGTAATTTTACATTTCTTAAATGCATAGAGTGTAAATGCACAGAGTTTATCAAAAGTCTAAATTTTATATAATTCCTGGGCATGGAGAAATTGCTCCCAGCAATTTTCGGGTTAAGAAATTTTTCTTAAAGAAAACGCAATCAATTTCATAACGAAAAATTACCCGTATATTATCCTTGAACTTTTACGATCTTTGTATCCCTACATATTTTGTTTTAATTTTAATCATGTCACGTGACAAACAGCTGATGTACGTGAAGTCGCTTTGGCCAAACTCGGTTGAGACCCCATACATACATATGCATTAGTATAATTGTTAATAAATTAAAACTCATGCTAATAAAAAAAGTATCAACATTTTATTGATTTTTTCGGAATATTTTGAGGCATATTTCCTATGGGCGGCCTTAACCTAGCTGCGAACGTTAAAGTGTTAGCCAGAAAAGTAAAATAATGCAGATATTCCATCGTAATGATCTGGTATTATCGAAATCCTTTTTTCTGTTAAAATTTTTTTCACATGACCCATTGAATATGCTAGTGAATAACATTCACTTTCACAATCACTTTGGCTTGATAACTGAAATATGTATTTTTGAATATTTAAATTGGCTTCATTGAATTTAAATTCCGCACCAAAACTTTTTTTGTTTTTCAGAGAAATGCCCGGAGGGATTCTATGGTTCCAATTGCTCGGAGAATTGCACTGGGATTTGTAATGAAAACCAAACATGCAATCATGTGACCGGGAAGTGTGAATGTCGACCAGGCTTTTTCGGACAAAGCTGCACTGAACGTATGCTTTTAAAATAATTATAATTTTATACCACCATTGTTATCATTGTTAGTTTTGTTTACAATGCAAAACATTCATATTTTTCTATTATTTTTTATCAAGCGCCATAGAGCTAGTTAAATATATTTGTGTGCATCATGATTCATTATATTTAGCATGATTCTGTTGCTCGTTAAATTCTAAATTGTTAGCAACATTCAGTGTGAGAATCAAGAATCATCAAGGAGATTTTTTTTCGAGCTAGGTTCCAACTAAAATAAAGTGATTTCTGAATTGACTTCTTAGGCTTTATAGAGGTTACATACAAAAAAAAATTATCAATGCAACAAAAAAAAAAGACGTCAATTAAAAAAACGAACATACATATAATAATTCAAATGAAATTTCAGGATGCTTGAAAAATACCTATGGTCAGGACTGTATATACAATTGCAGCCAAAATTGCCAGAATGGTGAAGCTTGCGACTATATAAACGGATCGTGTACCGATGGATGCATCCCTGGTTGGAGGGGGGAGCTATGTAATGAAAGTATGTAATTGATTGATTGTGTGTTGCTTAATGTCCCTCTAGTGAATTTTTCACTCATATGGAGAAACCCATTTCGTGCCAGCACCTACTGCAACACGGGACCTCTGTTCGTATAATCACATCCGAAGGACCGGTCTCCACGTCCCACAGTGGGATTCGAACCTGCGGTGAGGCCGTTAAACTCCTTACTTTGCGACTCCAGAGCAGACGCTCTAACCACTGCAATATTGATGAAATATATCTTAATAATATGATCATTCAATCACCATGCACGTAGAAATGCGAATATAAGGGTACATTTATATATGTAATTGTTCTATGCTACAAAAAAGTCTGTTGATGCTAGTTTTGAAGTTAGACCATTGCACTGTATAACGTAATATTATATTTTTATGAAAATTAATTGTATTTGATTGATAGAAAAAATATCTTATTTTATAAGGAAAATGAGTAAATATCAAATACATGTACATTATCAGGAAACATGTAGGTGTAAAAAAAAAAACGCAAGCTAGATATTCATACAATCTAGACAATGATAATTCCACCCAATTATAAATGAGCATGAATTTTCAAATAGAATTTAACGATAAAACATTATTGTGTTAACCAACAAAAGCAATAATTACTTTAAATAACTATGATTAACAAGCAAATTCAAAGAATTGTGGTCCCCCGCTTTCGCTGTCTTTTTTGGTGAGATGTCATTTTTATAACATATTGTGTCTTATATGAACGCCCTATCATAAGCCATCTATTTAGAAATTATCACTGAACTCCAAGGTCAATGTCAAAGGGTAAACATTTTTGGTATCCAATGAAAAGTCTTCTTAAAAGGAATACATATGTGAAGTATGAAAGCCGTAGCCCTTACCATTCAAAAGTTATGGTCAAGGTTAAAGTTTTTCATAAATACAAAAAATCTCCAAGGTCAAGGTCAAAGTTGTTGGTATCAAATGAAAGGTCTTGCCACAAAGAATACCTTTGTGATATATGAAAGTCCTGGTATCTACTGTTCAAAAGTTGTGGCCAGGGTCAAAGTTGTAGAAAAGTACGTCAAACTGCAAGGTCAAGGTCCAAGGGGCAAAGTTCTTAGTAATAAATGGATGGTCTTCTCATAAGAATTATATATTTGAAATATGAAAGCCCTAGCCCTTACCATTCAAAAGTTATGGTCAAGGTTAAAGTTTTTTCACAAATACGGAAATCCACAAGATCAAGGTCAAAAGGTCAAAGTTGTTGATATCTAATAAAAGATCTTTCTACAAAAAATGCATATATGAAATATGAAAGTCCTAGTACCTTCCATTCAAAATTATGGCCAAAGTAAAAGTTTGAATTTTTTGCGTGAAAGTGGGTCAAACTGTAAGGTCAAGGTCAGAAGGTCAAATTTTGTGGTACAGAAAGAAAGGTCTTTTCACAAGGAATACACATATGAAATATGAAAGTCATAGCTCCACTAAATCAAAAATTATGGGCAAGGTTAAAGTTTTTATGACGGACGGAAAGTCGGACAGACAGACGAATTAGATTTAATGTCCCCTTGCTTTCGCGAAAGCAGGGGACAAAAACAGGAAGTTGACTGTTTAATCATTAGGAGGTGTTTTGGAAATGAAAGGACTGTCACATTATTTTCAAGTTCATATGACGAATAATTATTTTTTTAATCATATGTAAAACAAAAAACTCAAATTGTTTTTATTTTTCGATCTTCAAATCATGCTTTCACTTCAGGAGACCCAACGAAACCGGAGATAATTTTGTCAAAAGCACCTGCACCTGCAGTGGTTGGCGCCGTTGTCTCAGCATTGGTGGTATTCATCGTCGTTGCCTTACTTTTAAATTTTTGTAAAAGTAAAAGGTATATATCTTTAATAATATAAGAAAATAACTCAAACAAAAACCGGAAATATTTCTGTACATTATTACTCTTGTAATATATGAAACAAAGGCAAATGAATACCTAAACTGACCTGGAAGAACCTCTTCTGCAATGGAATACACACTTTATACATGTATAATTGCATTTTGCCATTTTGTTCAAATATCCCAGAAAAGTTTGTCCTATTAATATTTGTCTTTTTTTTTTTTTTACAGATTTCACCAATCACGTCAAATTAGAGAAAAGATTCTAGATATTGACAACAATACACCTGGTAATTTTTTTTCAATTAATATCTCAATTGCACGAGTATAAGAGGGCTATTAGGGAATAACGTCACACAGCGGATGTCAGCAATGACAGGGAAGCTTACTCCTCATGGCACCTAATCCCACCTCTTGATGTTTTAGAGATCCATGTTTACTCTTCTGATTTGTATTATTTGAATATAATAATTAGGCTATTGAACTCCTTCTTTTTTTATGAAGATACAAAACACAAGATAACCTTAAAATCCTAATATGTAAATTTAGTGTATTTAACAGTTTCACAGTTCTTAGTTCTTGTCATAATATTTGAATGATCTTAACCTAAATACATTTTTTTAACATTTAAGTCAAGGAAAACATTAAATTGGTAAAAAGAAATATGTTTTTTTTAAAGGAAATTTTATCCATGTTATTTTAGCTGCAGACCAGTCACCCTCCTCTTGCATTAATTCTACGTATACAGACCACATACAAAGTCATGATGAAATAATAAACGACTACACATCAAGAAGTTTTTCTGTAGCAGAAATTTCTAAAGTCATCGCTGAAAAATCAAAAGATAACTACAATATATTTCAAAGTGAATATAAGGTATGCTAGAAATAAAATAAAGGATAAAATTGGAGTTCTGTGTACCCGGTAATTTCGTAAGTGTTTAATTTTACTTGTATTCCAAGGCCATACCATATGGAGAACAAATTGGAATTCCATGTACCATTGGAAAAGAAGAACGACATCTAGAAAAGAACCGTTTTAAAAGCCTATATCCTTGTAAGACATTTTATCCTTAAATTCTTGAATTTTATTGAACAAGTCGACCATATATGAATATGTTTCTGTCATTCTTTTAATCTTGAAATTTCATGTTTTGAATGAAATTAATTTACTGGTAGATGATCACTCAAGGATTTCCTTAAGAGATAAACATGACGACTACATACATGCAAACTACATACAGGTAAATTTTATAATATGGCGGCCATTAATTTGTAATCGATTTTAACTTTTAAAAAAAGAAAAAAAGCATATATACGTATTATTTAATATTATTGATAAAAATCACCTATTTATTTTTAGAACGTTAACAATGAAAAGGCTTACATTGCATCACAAGGTATGTTTAAGTTTTTTTTTTTGCTTTATTTTTTTTCCAATTTTCATTACTTTTGAATGAACATTACACGTGGGTTTTACGTGTGCACCTTTGTGTATTGATTTCTAAAAAAAAACTTCTCTAACCGTCACATTTTATTTTACTAAATTTATTTTTTTTTTCATTTTCTAGCCATTTTTTGTGTCACTTCAAATAATGAACATTTAACGACATATTTAAAAGAAGAAATTTAAACCTTTAAAAAAGACATTTTATAAATTAAAAGCAATTATTACACAAAATAAATAAAGATTTATTTCTATATTAGGACCTAAGAAGAACACCTTAGAAGATTTTTGGACAATGGTTTATCAAGAAAACGTGTCAGTAATTGTCATGCTTACGAATCTTGTTGAAGGCAGAAAAGTAAGAAGAATTTTTGAAAATAAATTATTTTTAAGAAAATATTTGTCCTCGATACATCAATGTCCTTTGAACGAAAAATGTGCGAAAAACAGATCATGATAAGTAATTAACAAAGAAAAATCTTTCTAGAGAAAATGCGAGAAATACTGGCCAGCTGAACGTGGAAGTGATGCGTTATATGGGCAAATCAGAGTTCATTTTATCAACGAGAAACAATATGCCAACTACATCATCAGGAGATTCAGAGTTAACACATCACAGGTATATCAAAAATATGTATGAAGATAAAAATAACGAACAATGATCGTTTTTTTTTAAATCTACAGACAAATATTCATTATTTAAACAGGGTATATCAAAGATTGGTTTCGCCTTCCATATTCAATACTTTATTATACAAATATGAACTCAGGGTTAGTCATTATGCATATATAATGACCCCAGATGACAGATATTGACCGAAGTTACATGGAGTATATCGACCGGGGGTGCTAGCCCGAGGTCGATATTCTACAATTTATACTGTAGTATGTATCTGAGGTTAATATCTGTCATCCAGCTGGGTCATTATAAATGTATATTGACCGTGCATTGAATCCATATTTATTATATTATATAATTTCCTAAATTTATTTGTACAATGTACGTCCTCCTAATTTTTTCAGAGATATTGATATGCTGTTGTTGTAAACCATAGATAAGTTGAATGTAAATTTTCAAAATCTTTTGAATATAAATCACAGGCACTACAAGGTATCTAACTAGCTCCAAATGACATAGAGTACACATACCCCTGAATCGCAGTCATTTACACTTGCATAGGAAATGCACTGACAAAATATTAAAGCCTATGTCTTCTACGATAATTTATCTACATAATCATACATGGCATGCTTGTCTTTATTTTCTTGCGCCTCCGTAAACAGCGTCAAAATTCAACCATATGAAATGCTATGTGCAAAGTATTCCCGAAAAATGTAAACATTTTATTTGAAGACTATTATAAATGATATTGATTTTCCACAATAATTTCAAACCCTTCATCAAGCATAGCCATTTTGAATTCTTCCAGCAATTCGATGCCCACCGAGTGGTGACCCAGTTCCATTACACCCAGTGGCCTGACCATGGTGTCCCCGATCCTATCAGTCTGGTGCTATTCCACAAACACGAGAAGAGGGTCCTGGAAAAAACCCATATAAAATGGCCCCTTCTAGTTCATTGCAGGTATGTGCTACTCTGAATAAAAAAATAAATAATAAAATCGACACTTCTTCAAAATTCTTTTATGGCATGAAATATATATGTCAACTGCTTCTTTGAATATTTTGCAGCATGCTGAAACCCTAGTATACAGAGTTAAAAATCGACTACTTAAATTGACTGCTCGTATAGCTTTTTGAAAAATGTAAATAATTCAATAAAACCCTGCTTTTTGTGTATATATTCATATTTTAATCATTTGATAAAGACAAAGCTTAAATTGGGTATACAGCTGTACATATTCATTTATCCTTCCAAATGATATTTTTCAATTACAGAGTGTATAGGTTTTTGCTAAGGAAACTTACATTCTTCATGTTCTTATCATACTTTTATTGCATCGAAAATGAAACATATACAATACATAAAACTTATAATATTTATTTTACGTGTGTACATAGCGCTGGTGTTGGTCGATCAGGAACCTTTATAGCACTGGATGCCCTACATCAACAAGGACTTGAGACGGGGGTCCTGAACGTTGCTGAGTACGTCAGAAAAATGAGAGAAGATAGGATGAATATGGTTCAAAACGTTGTATGTTTTATCAGCACATCTTTTAATTTTTTTTTCTAAAAAAGAATTTAAAGTTGATATTATTTTTAGGCAATGTACGATCTTTGCTGCTTTGAGAATCTTTTCCGCTTTAATTCTGACCTACATTTCACAATGAACATTCGATTGCTAATTAACAGTTAAGGAGCCTTGTAACATATTTTTAAGTCACATGCCAAGCTGACTCAAGGTATCTTCAAGGTTTATACACAATGCCTTTATGTTTCTCTGAGTACGACATCATTCAGAATACCGTTTAACGTATATTTTAGAAAATTGAACTATCGTTTTACCTTTTTCAGGACCAGTATATTTGCCTTCACATTGCACTGATGGAATCTTTCCAAGGTTGCAGCGTTGTTATGAGTAAGGCAATATTTATGACTAAAGTTCAAAACATTCATCAACAAAATGAAGAAACCTCATTCTGGATAACATCGCAATTTAATGTAAGTTTATCGACAGAACTATTTCTTCGATAATTTAAGTCTGAAGTACATTTCTGGATTTATTCTGTTTTTGATCAATGTAACTTCACTTCATACCTTTAATAGACAATGAATGTGAAGAAAGAATGTCAATACATAAATTATTTAACATTGGTAAACTATATTTATACTTTTTGAAGCAATAACGCTCCTACAAATTAAAAACTGGGGACTGTATTCTTTTCAAGGAACAAAAATCATAAAATTGTATAATTTTGGCGACGTGTTAAGTATTACCAAATAAAAACAAGAAAATTATTAACTATCTATGTTTATTACGGATTTGACTATCATGTCATTAAGTTATAGCGGACAAAACTATCTAATGACTTGAATTTTGTTCAAAATTTGTTCCAGGAACTGATTTCAATAAATAAGAAAAATAATGAAAACGAAAACACAGCTAGAATAGAAAACGGAGAACTTATTCTGACACAGAACTCCTTACCGAGTAAGCTTGTATTACTTATTATTTGCTTTTGACATTTGTTAGGGCCATTTGTTTGGTGGAAAATATTTTTTACAGAAAATTTAAATATCAATTCAGAATTTTCAAAATTAAATACCTCTTGATGGACTAAGAAGAACAATTTCTGAATGTTATTTCCTTTTTTTTTTTATTCATTTATTTTGATATAGATCAATGTATTATATAGATCGGGGGGGAAAACACATTGTTTTTTGATGACCTGATAAATTTATTCTTGATTTTTTGAATTTCGAATGTGCACTGTTCCTTTTATTTACTAGTATTTATTTATTTTTTAATTCATTGTTTCGATGTTTTTTATTTTTCTGCTGATTACTTCTTCTTATGTCTTGCTTTTAATGATTTTTAGAATGTACTTTTATTTTTCATAAGTCGAAAGGAACAGCGTAGCTGTGATGACGCCATCAGCTAAGGACAGACTGGATTATTACAACGCAGCCTTCCTAGAGGTAAAAAAAATAAGTTTGTACTGTACACAAACGTGTCACTACATTGCGTCTTATCTAGAAATATACATTGTACTTCAAAATAGGCTTCGTTAAGATAGTTCGTCTCAAACCCAACCAACCCCCTCTTCCCCTGAAAAAAAATTCATTTTCCCTCTGGCTTGGCTACACAGCCAATTGTGCCTTACGTTAATTTAATATGAAAATAACATTAATTTAACGTTAAATATTTAACGTTAAATTTACGTCAATCGAGCTTATACATGAATTTAACGTTAAAAAATTAACGTTAATTTAACGTTATTTTCATGTTAAATTAACGTTTAGCGTTAAATTAACGTAAATTTATTCACACTAATTTAACGTTAAAATGCATATAAATTGTGTGCATATTTTTGGAATTTTCCTTCCTATTCTTCCAGAAAAATACATGTTCTTGCATCATAGCAGAAGCTTAACTGATACTACATGTAATCATAATTATTTCTCTAAAGGTACACCAGAAGTTCATCAATTTTGCACTTTTCCTTGTAGCACTGCAGAAAGCTAGGCTTGCATGTTGACTTCATCCATGGTGTCACTTTCTTTTCAATTTGAATATATCCAAAAGGATAAAGGGATCCATCAGCTCTTTCAACAAAATCTCTAAAATTCTGAGCATTGCCTCCGATTTCAAATTTTCTGAAGAAAAGAGAAAAACACCAATTCATCCATTAATAATTTTAATCAGGCATATTCAATACAATGCTACAAATCTTCTTTCTTTTTCCAATCTGAAAAATAAGAGAGGCAAATACATTCATATTATAATAATTATATGAAAATAAAATACTTCAGCAATACATTAACAACTCAAATTTGTCTTAAAATATAATGAATGAAACAAGAGGTCCATTGGCCACATCCCTTACCTGAGCACATGGGCTAGCTAAAAAACACAGATCAGTTAAGTATTGAGGAGTTTACTTTATACTTATTGGGGGGAGGGGGATTTGAATTTTCTATTACTTGAAAAGGTCACTATTACAACACAGCATACATATATTATTTTGCCATACTTGAAAAGAAGATTTTTAAAGATTTTTCCAACACATTACCTGATCTCCCATTGTGATCCTCGCTAACCCACAATCCCCGGGGCATTATTTGAATAAATATAAATTTTTACTACATGTACTTGCAGATCATGTCAATTCGACAAAACAATTTTTTTCTGTTCTGGAGATTCTTTTTCCTATGTATTCTTATGCAAGTCTGTGATCCCTCATTGTGGCCACATCCTAACCCCAGGGGTCATGATGTGAACAAATTGAATCTACATTTAGTACCTTTGGATGCTTCCACACCACGTCATGAGATTAATCATTCCTGTCCTAATGGTTCTGAGGAAGGTTTTTCCTATGCATTCCTATGTAAAATTTTGGTCGGCCATTGTGGCCCCATCCAGCCCCCAGGGGTCATGATTTGAGGATGATTCCACATAAGTTCGGAGAAGATTTTAAAAAGGTTTTTCCTATGCATTCCTATGTAAAACTTGGGAACAAATTTGAATCTACACTACAGGGGTCAAGAGGTCATAGATGTGCGTATCGATAAATGTTCAACGAAATTTCTCAGTGACGTCATAAGGGGTCGACACGCATTCAGTGTCTTGTATACATGCCATTGGTTTTGAAAATTAATGCATTTTGCATGTTAAAAGCCACAAACAGTGTGATCAGGCAAATATAAAGTATGAGTAAGTCACAAATGAAAATATAAGTAATTAGGTATCATTTTAAAACATCCAACGGGCTATAAATATGGGTTGGTACGAGATTAAATTCATTATAAAGCCCCTCAGGCTTTATGGAATTTAATCTTGTGAGTCATCACCAACCGATATTTATATCCCCCCCCCCCCCCGGTTTGAAGAGGCTTTAAAGTACACTATCTTAAAGTTCCATCTTTCCTGGCCCAGTGGTTCTTCAGAAGAAGTTGAAAATGTGAAAAGTTAACAGATTGAGAGACAGACACCGAACAAAATGTGATATGAAAAGTTCACTTGAGCTTTCGGCTCAGGTGAACTAAAAAGCTACTAGTATATAAAAACTATATACTTCCATTTATCCTGCAACCACCCCTTGCATTGACCTAATAAAGGTAACCTAATAAACCAAAGCTTTATCCGGTCACTGCCCTAATAAAGCCTCGTGCATGTATTCCGACGTTTTAAAAGCATTGTGACGTCACGTATACTGGATGTTTACTCCATGGCGTCACAGTTTCCACTGCAGAGATGTACCTAAATCTGTCGAAAATAGCTAGTTTTGGATGTTCAAATGTAATGAATATGTTGCAGGATAAACAAATTACATGATAACTGTCTTGAAATATAAGCGATATTTGGGCTCGGGTCGAAAAAGTAAGATGGCTCGGCAAGCTTCGCCCTCTATCACGTTTTCTTACCCTCGCCCAAATATCGCTTATATTTCAAGACAGTAACCATGTATTTTATATATATATATATTACTATACAGTGAGACTGGCAAACAGACATTGTGTTTCAAGTATACTTTCAAAAAAATTTAGGGGTGACATATTAAATGGTTTTAAATATTTGATACGTGTTCAGAAAAAATGCACTTTACCTGGTATTTTGAAGATTGCTTAAGGTGATGAAATATATTCACTTTCTTGTGATTATCATGTTCATGTCAGCAAGACTTTATACTGAGTTAACCTACAATTATAAAAAAAAATAATTAAAAATCATTTATTTGAAATGTAATATCTTCAACTTATATGATATTCATAGATAGAAACCAAATTTTATGTGCAGTGTCTGATTCAAAGCAAACTTTTAGTGCAGTGAAAGCAACTTTGCTTTAAATTTGTCTCTTTAGCATAAACTCTAGATCAAGTTATAAAATTTTTCTAAATGAAAATTATGAATACACTATGTATGTACTATTTCATAAATAACCTTTATTCCTGCATGGTTATCCTGAAAAACATCAATTCAAGGAGGCAGCAAGGAATGGTATATAGAGGCTGTAGTCTGCTCTTTTCTCCATGTCTTGCATACAAGTATCTTTTCTGTAATATGCAGGAAAAGAAAAAATCTTGATTTAATAAATTTTTAATGCTTATAAAATATTTCTGAACAAAATATTGACAAGTGTCAAGTAGTGACAAGTACTTAACTGGTATTTTAAAAAATCAGTTGGGGTGTGTGAATGTAAATTTCACTGTCATTAAATTTACTGTGGGAATTGTTTACATTTTGTTCCACTTTCAATACCTTTTTTGTGTTCCACTGGCATTATAATTTAGGCAGCTGGGTTCTTCCCGTGTCTCGACGACAAAGTCCGATTTGATCCATTTCAGAAGTGCGAGTCAGATGTGACACCGAGTTCCAGCTGTTTAAAATACAATAAAAATAAATATCAAATCGGGTTTTTTTTCTCTCGATAATGATGAAGCCAATTAAGATGAACTGTTAAAATCAGTGAAAACAACGCTCACTTTGCATGTTTAACTTCTACTTCGAGATGGTTATTGTTAACTTGTACACGATTTCTACTTTCACTTTCGAATTTTCTTCGTATCGTACGTAGGGCGGCAGTACAGCTGTACCGGAGGTTTAAGTGTTCAAACAAATTTAACCAACTGAACAATAAATAGACCTACTAAAAATAATAATGCTGATATACAAATATCCAACATAGCAGAGATCTGGCACGTCTTTCACAGCCTACGACACAGTAGCCTGCAAAGACTGTTGAGTAATTATGCGTTATATTGCTGTATACTCCCTTCTCATTATATCGCGGGTTCCATTGTATCGCGGTATATTCCAAAAATACGCATTTCCGGTTTTTCTCGCGATTTTAGCGCCACCTATGGTAAATAAACTTTAGATCGTCTGCCAATAAGATGCTAAAATATGTCAGAAATCATAGTGAGTGTCTTAATTTTTCAATTACAAGTATTTTATTCAGTTTTAATGAAGGTGTTTAAAAAATTATTCTAATTTACCCATAATAAAATAAGTCACAGCATAAATTGTCAGTCTACCGTCTGGGTTGTTGACATTAGCCATAGTAATGAAGTCATGTGATGTTCTAAAACAAAAACTATGGAACGCTGTTCTCATATTAATTAAATAAAATATAATGATAGTAAGCAATGTTCAAAAAAGGTTTTAGTGAATATTTTTTTGTAGAATAAATCAAAGAGGTTGCAATATGATAGGAATAACTTGGAAAGAGCCCACACAGCTGTCATTTCTGATAATGTATCAGTTTATCGAGCAGCCATGGTTTACAAAGTCCCTGAATCCACTCTACGGGATAGAACTAGAGGGAATGTGTCATTGCAATCAAAAGTGGGTAAAGAACACCTGTTCACTGAAAGAGAAGAGAAAATTTTTTTTGACCATTTGACATACATGGCCGAAATAGGCTATGGATATACGAAAAGTAGCATCCAATCTATGGCAAAAGAGTATGCCGTTTCATTAAAAAAGAAACTAACAACAAAATTAAACAATTCAGTCAAGCTAAGCAACAACTGGTTTTACCAATTCATGAGCAGATTGCCCCAACTTAAACTTGTCAAGCCCCAGAAGCTCTCTGTACATAGGGCTAAGAGCACGTCAGAAAAAAAAATTAAGAAATACTTCGAAGAGCTCTCTGAAATCATGACAACAAACAATCTGCTGGACAAGCCCAATCGAATTTTTAATATTGATGAAACCGGTATTACCACAGATCATATGCCACCGAAAATAGTTTGCAACAAAAACACCTCAGCACAGGCTGTTACATCTCCAAGGTCTTCAACGATTACAATTATCGCTGCAGGAAATGCTTTAGGACACCACATTCCTCCGAATTACGTGTTCCCGGGCAAGAGATGGATGCCTGCCTTTCTTGAGGGAGCTGCACCAGGAGCAAGCGGTGAGATGAGTGAAAGTGGTTGGTCAAATGGTGCAGTATTTGAAAACTATCTGACCAACCACTTTGCACGCCATGCAGGCATCACAAATGACCCCAATCAGGAACCCACTCTTATCCTTTTTGATGGCCATAGATCGCACATACGACTTACTCTGACAAATTGGGCCCGCCAGAGGAATGTCATTTTATTTCTACTGCCACCCCATAGCAGTCATATTACCCAACCACTGGATGTAGCCATATTTGGACCGCTTAAAAATATGTATTACAGAGAATGTGCCACATATATGCAACAACATCCTGGAGCAAACATCACTAAGTATGAAATTGCAAAATTAAGCAGCAAGCCCTATCTAAAGGCAATGTCACCTGATAACCTTGTTTCCTCCTTTCGGAAAACTGGGATATTCCCGCTGCAACCAAACATTTTCGAAGCAACACCTGGAACATTAGCTCCTGCAACCATCTATGCAAATGAGGATTTACAACCGACTTTGACAGAAGACACAGAGGTGATGGATGATCATGAGGGAGATGTTGCACAACCAAACACAAATAGTGGACACAATAAGGAAAATATGAGTCCTTCTGACTTTTTTAATAGTAGGACAATCAAAAAAGAATCTGTGAATAAAAGTAAGAGAAAATTTGTTCCGCCATTTCTCTCTGGAAATCTTTTGAAGGAGTCTAACATTGAAGCATTAGAAACATCTCAACTAAATAAGAAGCAAAAATTAGAAAAAGAAAAGGAAAAAGAAAAAAAGCCAGTAAAGTCAAAGGGGAAAGGAAAAGCACTAGTTAAGACAAAAGGAAACACTTCAATTACTTCAAGTCGTTCAAGTCCAAAGCCAGGAACATCTGGCCATCAGAGCAAAGTATCCGGCCCGATACCTGTGGATACTTCAGATGATGACATTTTAACAGATGACGATGAGGTTTGCTGCATTTGTAACAAATGGCAGCCAGAAGAACTTTCCCATATGGCAGGGATCAGTTTTGTCAGTTGGGGACAATGTGACATTTGTGGACACTGGACCCACCTTAAATTTTGTTCTTCAATTAAAGTTCTCAGGAGAGGAAGTGAATTCAAATGTCCACATTGCATTTAAACAATTAAATAATAAAGAGAGTAACTCAATAAAGTTTTAATGAATGCAAATTTAATTTCAGTTCCTGTTTATTATTGATATTTTATATAAATAAAAAAAAATGTAGTATGGAAATAAAATAAATACCTTATAACTGAACCAGGCTTCCATACATTCAATACCGCGATACAATGGAACTCTCCAATTTAAAAGGTAAATAAGACTTCTGCGTTTTAAAAATAGCTCACAAGAAAACGAAAAAAGGTTGAAAAACTGTGTTCCACTGAAAAGTTAGCCAAATGTAAGCTTTATAAATAGCAACCATTGTCATATTCAGATTTCAACATTTAATATCCATTTTTAGGGTAAACAATTAAGTACCGCGATATAATGAGACACCAGTATACATAAAGTTCAAACATTTAGGGACCTCTGAAATTATGAAACTCTCAAAAACGTAATATTACAAAGACTACAAAATACTTACTTTTAACAGAGACTTGATAAATCCTTCTTCACTGTGTTTTCAATTTCTGTTACAGCTGATGACGTCAAACATGACGTAAAGTTTCGTCCGATAAAAACAAAACCGATCCTGATAAAAGCTATGGACCAATTTTAGCCGGAAAACAATCCAAATCCAAGTTGACATTTTGAAAGATAGACATAGAGCTTATAATCTAAGTCTAGATAATTTACTTTTTTAAGAATGTATGAAAAAAAAAATGGATGAGGTGAAGAGGGTGCTAACAGTTAGAGCACCCCCCTTTCCCAAACACACACGCGTAACACAACCTTACACAAACACACAGGCACTTGTGTCGGAAATACTTTTTGAACCTATGGTATAATATTAAATCAATTGTTATCTTAATATATTGGGGTTAAAAATTTATTTCCGACACAAGTGCCAATACCCCCCCCCATCCGCCAACCCCCAACCCCGGCGGTTTTGAGTATCCACATATGGACATCTTAATAATTAATTAATTGTCACTAAAATGATTGGCAAGTATTGTTTAAAGTTAGGTCTAAAATTTGAATAATAACATTAATCTCGTGTTATTCTAATTAACATGAAATTAACATTACAGAATTAACGTTAAATTCACATTAACATGAAATTAACATTAACTAATTCACGTTAATCTAATGTTAATATTTTGGTTCTAGTTTTTCAAGACAGAACCCAAGCTCACTTAAAATTTTAATGCTAATTTAATGTTAAAAATTAACATAAAATTAATGTTAAGTTAAATTAACGTTAAAAATTAACATGAAATTAATGTTAAGTTAAATTAACGTTAAATATTAACGTTAATTTAATGTTAACCTTTTTAATGTTAACTTAACACGAAAGTAACATTAAACTAACATCAAGCTTACGTTAATTTAATGTTAATTGAGATTAACACTAAATTAACGTTAGGCACAATTGGCTGTGTAGAGAATTTTAGAGAAGAGGTTATTCAAAGTCTACGGAAAATTATCATAGCGACAATGATCATAACTTAATAAAGGGATACATGTAATGCAATGACCTGGCTCCTAAAATTAGAATAAATGTAATAAAAAATGTACATGTATATTATTAAATATTTAATAAGATAGGGTGTAAGCATTAACAGAAATGTTAATGTTTAATCACAAATATGTTCTTTAAATCTTTCATTTACAAGTACCACAACTATGTTTCGTTCTAATAACAACATATATTTTAGACTTTCTATGAAAAGGACATGCTTATAGCTGCCCCATACCCCAAAACAAGCCACCCCGTGGACCTTATAAGACTGCTTGTTGACCAGGAATCCAGTAGTGTGGTATTTATAAATCAACTGACGGACATACCCTCGGTAATATTTGGTAATTTAAAAAAAAAAATTCCAACATCAACTTACTACCGCATAAAAACCTTTGAATTTTCTTTGTAAAATAATTTGTTTTACAGTGTGCTGAGTTGTTGAACCAGCAAAAAACAGATATAGGACCATATGAAGTTCAGCAGGAAGAATCAGCTAAAATATCTGCAAATCTTCGTAGACGTAAAATAAAAATTAGGAAAAATGAGGTACTTTTTATTTCTATGCATATGAAAGCGCGCCCTATAAAATACTAGCTGAATTCTTTTATATACTCAGTATTGGTTTTCATTTTAAATCTTAAAAAATTATGAAATCTGAGCAAAGGTTTTATTTTAAGTGAAGGGTTTACCAAAACAAAATAGAATCTTGTATTGTCCTAATGGACTTTTATGAGAAGCGCTGACTTTCACAGTTGACGAATTACTCTCACACTAGGACAGTGTACGGAAGCTCCTTTACGATATAAATATTTTGCTTAACATTTAATTCAACGAAAAAAACAAGCTATTTCAAAGCACATACAAGTTGAACTTGAAGAAAACGACAACCGTTCCTACCCTCAAATCCAGGCCTTCACATATAAGGCCCCTTACACCATTACTGTGACCATTAGAAAGGTTTTCCTATCCATTATCAATTTTGTACCTCCGTAGATGATACAAGATTACATGTCAAAGTAAACAGTCAACTGTAAAAGTCTGTGCTTCTCGTAAAAATCCAATAGCCAGTTAATAAAAATATATATTGGGAAAATGTCATTGTATTATATAGTATATTTTACAAACGACCCAAAGTAAACCAACTACAAAACTATTCAATCCTGAGCATATAGAAGTTTGGGGACAATCTTTATTTGTCCACTTTTTTATGGGAACAAAAGGGAAAATTGTCGATTAGAATGCAGGGTCAAAGTGACTGGCGTTTTCTGCAGGTAAAGGTCTTTTGAGCTCATTTTGTTATTACATGTACTAGTATTTGATAGCCTTGAGCAAAGCTTTCTATATTGTTGAAATGCTTATATAAATTTATCGCACTTCCTGACACTACAACAAACATGAATGAATCACTCTTGACGAATATGAACATTCATAGATGCTTTTCTAATCTCATGCTTTATAAACAAATAGATGAGGACATGTTTATCAGAGATCTAGAGAGAGGGAGAGAGATGTTTAAATGAATTGTGGATACCATTTATAAATTAAAAGTGTTGAATTTAATGTGCATGTACCAAGATTCTTGCTTATGGCTAACAAAATGTCTCGAAATTATTTCAAAGTGGTAAACCGATTAATTTGCAAAATTCAACGAAAGTCAAATTTTATAGTCTAGGAAATATCAATATTTAACAAGTATGTATTCTTATGCTTTTTATAACAGCAAACTAAATGGATGGCGATTAACATGTACGAACTTCTCTGCTGGGGAACAGACGACATTCTCCCGTCTGACCTTGGAGCTTTGTCTGACGTCATCAAATATATCAGAATGGATAGCAGTAAAAGAACCGAACACGCACCAATAATAGTCTTGTCAAAGTAAGGGTCATTATATTATCATCGTAATGTAATCACATTCAACTTTATGATTTACTCAAATGATATATATAAGCGATAAAAGTCTGTATGTGTTGTAAGTGACCTTATTATATAGCTAATAAATAGTCTCTAATAAAATACTACCGAAAATCTAGAGAATTTTAACGTTCAATACCTTGACGTTTTATTGAACGCTAACTTTGTATTACGAATATGAGTATGCCCGAAACATTCCGAATACGAGCGTTCAATATCGAACGCCCCGTTGTAAACAAAAAAGTCGTCTGGTCAAATTCTCAGAGCTAAATTAAAGAAAGGAAGTGGCATCTAGGTAAGATGTGTTTATTTTTCACACAAAAATAAAATTATTTATTCAAATACAGTACGTATTAGACCCATTAAAACCTAAATAAGCAAATCATATCGCTCGGTAGGGTCATCGGAATGAGGCGATATTGACAAGGACGTTAATTTGAATACCGATACTAAAAAATCATCAATTTGAGGGTTTTTTTAGTAGAAATAATTATTATAAATTATGTGGAAATGTTTTAGCTATATAATAAAGGAGTTATTGAACTTATATTGGTGAATATTGGCACTCGTTGGCTGTTCAAATGCACTTGCAAGCTCGTGCATTTGAACAGCCAACTGGTGCCAATATTCACCAATATAAGTTCAATAACCCTATATTATATTCCTACAAATAAGATGCTTTTTTGCAATTGTGAGTTATTTTACATTGCACTTAACTTAGACAAATTGTTAAGAGAAATTTTATTCAAATTGATAAACAGAGATGGTGCGACCGGATGTGGAATTTTCTGCGCCGTGTATAACGCCATACAACAGCTACTGCAGGACAATGAAGTAGACATGTTTACCATAGTCCGGCAGTTACAAAGACAAAGACCGGAAATGATATCATCTGAGGTTTTTTTAACAATCATAAGTGCTATGTTATATTGCTTATAAATGCATGTAAATGAAAAGCACTAAAACTTAAAATTAAAATATTCCAAAATGTATTGAAATCATATACAAACGAATTGGTAGTTAAAAAAAACGTGCTCCCTTCTGAGGAGAAATCTGCGACGGAGAGTTTTGAAATGGACCTTTTCCGTTGTCGCATTTGTTTCATCTAAATTATTCTCCTTTTTTGAGGATAAGTTCATTGTAAGGGATAAAACTTCAAAATGGAGTAAGAATATTTTTGTTGTTAAGTGCAAAATTTCCTTCTATTTTTTGAATTATTCAAACTGTCAGTATTTTATAATAATCTAAAAATAAAAATGTATAATTATTCCTTTATAGATTGAATACAGAGCCTGTCATGACGTCACTTTACTTTGCCTTCAAGATATAGAACTAGAGCTTCAGCAAGAGGATTTCAACGCCACAGACAAGGACTATGTCAATACGTAGGCAAGGCCTATGTCATTATGTAGACAACGACTATTTCAATACGTAGACAAGGACTATGTCATTATGTAGAAAAGGACTATGTCAATACGCAGACAAGGACTATGTCATTAGGTCAATAGGTACACAAAGACAACATGTATATCAATACGTAAACAAGGACTATGTCAATACACAGACAAGGATTATGTCAATACGTAGGCAAGGGCTTTGTCAATATGTAGACGTTTCATTTAAGATTTCAATTCTGCTTTTGACTCATACTTAAAGAATCAATATGAATAAAACTTGAGAATAATAATGTGAGAGCATATTTGTAAAAATATGTCAAGCATAGAGAAAATCGATTTAGGGACATATGCAACATACCTTACCTACTGATAGATTTCAAAGATATTCCAAATTTCATCTTATAATATGATTACATGTTCATAGACAAAAAATCAGCATGCCTTACCAGAGGTTTTGAAAAGATATCGAATTTTGAAAAATTTCGCATAATTCAAATAAAAATGTACAAAAATTATAAAACACAAATTCCAAATTTTAATTCATCAAAAATTGTTTTAGAAGTGGTGTACAAATCCATATATAGACATTAAAACTATTGCACACAGGTCCTTCATTTAGTGGAACTCTTCCACTCCAGGGAAGAACCCCAAAAAGTTCAAACTACGTTGCGTATGACCTTAAATTTATTCTGTAGGAATGCAGCTCTACACTTACGGACAATTTATTTCTCTAATAATGCAATGTTATAATTTTGTAACTCTACTGGTCAGAGATCAGTATGATTTCCGTATAACTTGGCACACAAGTCGACTATACCAATATACATAATGCTTTTAATTGGTTTTTGATTTCGATAAATGGTGTTGACATGGTTATTAAATTAATATAGAAATTACTTTGGAATATTTTTGTTCAAATGCTACTCTTCCTACAGGTTTAGTCTGATTTCAATATAACTTTGCACACATGTAGAATACATTATGATTGATTAATTCTTTGTATCGGTTTTTGATTTTAATGATTGGTGTTGCCATGGTTATTAAAAGATAAATTTCTTTGAATGATTTTTAAAATGCTACTGATCCTACGGTCTAGGTCCGATCTTGCTTAGAAAAAGAGTAAACCAATGAAAATTTTCTTTTTAATTTATTACTGTTGCAAAGTTTAAAGTTCGTGTGCTACCTTTCTCTTCCTTTATTACAAGTATAAACCAGTAGAGCTTCAGTCTCGTCAGAGACTTATGGTTCAAAGATATTTTTTTACTACCTATTGTTATACTATTGTACAATATATTAATTTTCTTATCTATTGTTTCAAGATGTTTTGGTCACATACACACATGTATAAGACTTTTAATACAGTGTAATAATTATGTACAATTACATTCATTCCTATTGTTTCTTTGTCTTGTATGCACATTGTTTTATTTTATGATATATTTCAAATTTTTAATTACCTTATTGACCAGCATTCGTTTATATTTGTGTCAATTTTGTAAGAATAAATTCTGGAAGGCATGTTATCAAAGTTCTTATTTCAACAAGAGAAATGTCATACAAATTGGAAAGATATTTTAAGGTATCTCCATCTTCTGTTGTTTCAAGTTACAATATGTAGGTTGTTTCTTTCGAGGCAAGTCTCAAAATAGGGTAACTATTTTTATGGATAAAAAGAAATGGTAAGTGGGATAATAATTTCTTTTAAAAATATAAGGACCAAGTGACTCACCTGCAGAAAAACTCAGGTAAGCGCTGTAACTCACTGGCCATTTGTAATTATTTTTTTTAAGAAAACGATAATGATAATTCACAATAAGCGATTTTAAATAAAAAGCAAGATATAGCTGAGCAGTGCATAAAATCGGTCCACTGGAAACTCCTGAGGTTGGATTGGATGCGTAGGAGGAGTAAGCCTCCCATCTACGATTTCTTTCTCACTTTAAAATAAAAGTTCACTTTTATTTGATTGATAGCAAACATTTAGAAAAAGTAGCTTTCTAGATAATTATGTTACAATACTTTTATATATATGATATTTTCTCTTTGACAAGAAATGTAATTTTAATTATTAACAATTAACAGGAAAATTTTGATGGAAATAATGTTTTTACTTTGAATTGACGTTTTCGTCTAGTTAGCCGTGACAATATTTATCATAAAGAGGCAGATGAAAAAGTTTCAATTGACTACCTTTCTGTAAATAATTCTACTTATATAATCACTGTACGTAATTACCTATCATATAATAATTAGCTTTATCATATTATTAACATGTATGTAAAAGGAAATTTATGAATAATCAATAAACCGTGATTTTGTTGACACGGAACACGTCACGGTCTGTTGATTTGCCTGGTTCCCTGTCAGTCTAAGGTTGACAAGTGTGAAGTAGCCAGAGGTCGAACATAAATCGTGTGTAAAAACAGGACTGTTAACACGTGTGTATTGCTCTGTGGATTAAGTTTAATCTGAGGAATATTTGCTTTATTTTCTAATTTAAAGTAAGTATTAGAAATGAACACTTTTAATAATCCTATGAAAATGACATGTAAATATTCCTTTTATTCCCCAAATATACGCATAATTATATATTTGTTTTATTGTAACTATGTTTTAATATTAATATGTATTATTTTTGTACATTCCTTATTAATTTTTTAGATTAAGCTTATATGCAAGTATTTCTTTATAAAATACGGTACTCTTCATCCACATTTGTTTCTGAAATGGAACGAAATATGTACTCACATCTAAATTAAAAACATTTAATGTAAAAACACTTCCTCTTTGATATAAATGATTTTAAAAAAACCACTTTCAGGCTTGATTTAAATTTCATATTAAAAACTGATATATCAAAATATACATGGACTATGTATTAACTTAATTTTTTAAAAAAAGTTTAAGGAGTCTAACATAAATACACGTAATGCCTCTCCTACGAAAAAGATAAAGATAATGTAATCTTCCCTGCGAATAAAATAGATAATTTTCCTACTTATAAGCTTAAGGTCCTTCTCGTGGCATTGATATGTCTGTAGTAACTGACGATTAATTGCATTTCTTACTGAATGTTGTATATTTATGGTATATTATGACAAAGTCCTTCTTTGTATTTTTATCCTTAGACACTTTTACAATCATGCTATATTTAAATTCTTTTCGGAATGCTACATTGTACATTTGATCCAGGTACATATAATAACTCAGTGTATATCTGGCAATGAGACTTTCTAGAATAGAAAAAATTGAAATTTGTCCAAAATCAATGCAAAGTGAATCAAGAATATTACTAATATATTTAAAGATTTTGTTATTCAAATTTTTTACTTCCGTGTACACTATCTGCATGTTCTCATTGGTACATGTACATTGGAATACATAACCCTTTCACTTGTTTTCGGTTAAGACTTGTTAGCAGTTATGATGAAAGAGATTTGCCAGGGGCGGATCATGTTACAATGTACAATTTTTCACCTTAAATCGGTTTTGTCAAAGCTTAATACGCGCCATATCGTCCATTTCTCGCATTCTATTAACTTAGTCATTTTTCTTGTGTCACAATATGACAATGTCAAGAGACCGGTGTTGTTAAATCATAAGATAGGAATTTTTCTTTCGTCTCCAAAATAACATGACAAGGTTTAGGGAACGAATTAAAAACATACTTGACAGTTCATCAAAAATTACATGTATATGCGTTGCACTGTGCACGTTTGCCTTGTTTGATAGGAAACGATTTTATTTTTTGAAAAATGATTTATCTTAAGGGAATAGTAACTATTGCACATATATGAACTTCACACAATTTAAAAAAATACAAACCGCCTTCAAAATTTTGAAGAGCGTTTAGCAAAACAATTTAAAAAATAAACAAACTGAAATAAACATCTAGAAAGATAGAAAAAATATTCTAATTACATAGCTGTAATTAATCTCGTCTTAGGTGAATTATATTTAATTTTGCGTGTTTTAAGTATACAATATTTCTAACTTTCTTTTTGATATTTTGTTTGAATGCTGTATACAACATGTTTTCAATAATCAACTGTTAGCAAGGCTCAAATGAAAGTACTGATAAATCATTCATGCACAATATGTCAACGTTTTAAATGATATTCGTATTAAACTAAGACCAGTTGACCAGAAAATGTATATTAATCTTATCATTATTCTTGTCAAATTAATTTGTCATTTTATGACAAATTCCATGATAGTATTCATTCGTGCAATTTTGATACGCAATCAAACCAAGTAAACTGACAATTAATAAATGATCATGGTTTAATTTAGCTTTGGAACATTTATTTACATGTACTTCATAAAGCACGATAGAAAACAAACATTTGGTACACTAATATCGCCACCTGTTAATGTCAGCTAATGTACATATCTATGTCCATCATAAGATAACACAGCGAAGGTGTTACCTCGCTAGGAAGTACACAATCAGACACTTGTGTCAAATGTACTTCAACGTATACCTGTACCTGTACGGCAGATCCCATCATTTTTCTTGCAATAAGACCATCCTAAAAAGTATTTGCGCTATCCATACTGACGGACTACAAACAGCCTGACTGATATTTTTACTACCTCCACACTCTCCAGGAAACAATAATTTTCTATTCATTCGGAAATTTTATTATTTACTTTTTCTACTTCATTTTTGTAAATGAAGCAAACGCTGTTTCAAAGATGGCCTATTAATAAATTGATAACCCCCCCCCCCCCCCAGTGTTAAGGTATCAAATCTTTAAGCAGTCCCTGAGTCCATATCATATTTATTAATTAAACTCCGGCCTATTTCTTTCTTTTAGCTAGTTTATATAATGTTCCCTCTATCTAGATTTTACCACTTGCCAGGGTTGAACATTTATTTATACTTACAATGTACATGTATACTTGGGAAACAGTTTCATTGAGCAGTGAGGGATCTTTTGTTCGTACCAGCATCTAAATGTACTGGACCCAAGTTTTCATGTACATTCCTTTCCAAAGAACCAATCCAAGAATTTATCAGCTGTGTGTTTTTTTTTTAGTTTTAAATTTTCTTTTCCTTGAAATTTTTTGCTGCATGATTAAGTTTTATTTTACACATTATATAGTGATGAAAAGGCTTGAATTGTCACCCTTGTGGCGCAGTTGTAAGAGCACGTCCTGCAGTTGGACCCCATTCCGCGACGTAAGAATCTACTCCTTTAATTTCTACTGAACTCTTAGAGCGAATGCTACCGTCACCGGTTCAGAAAATGAAAATTACTTTTCAGAGTTACTTCCATCTGTTTAAAGATTAATATTTACAATAGGAAATTCAATCTTTGATTTATGGTATTATTTTCACTCTCACTTTCTCTCTCTCTCTCTTTCTCTGGAGTTTGTTCTCATGGCAGTTACATGTACCATAGATAAGGAATATTCTATATTGTTGAGTATATTACTACTGTGATTGATTGTCTCTTGTTTAACGTCTCTCTCGAAAAATTTTCACTCATCTGGAGACGCCACCACTTGCCGATGAAGAGCTGCAAATTATGTCCAATACTCGGCACTCAGGGCCATTAAGCATGGAGGAATCTTTTTCGTGCCAGCACCAACTGCGACATGGGATTTCGGTCTATGCGGTCTCATCCGAAGGACTGGTCTCCACATTACTACAGTGACTAGACAACTCTGACGTTTATCTACTTTAAGATACATTTTCCGATTTTCTCATAAAGTTGGGGCGAAACACTCATAACCGTCAATCAGTGGAAACCATAATTACCCATAAATAGTATATGTACCACAAACAAACAGTTGTACATGACTGTGGCTTATAATGCGGAATTTGTCATGTCCTTTTGTTGCTTCGTGTGATTAACCTTTCCAATGAAAAAAAAAAGAAGAAACATGATCTGACAAAGATTTGTATTTGTTATGAGAAATAGAGAGATCCCCTGTCTAGACTATTATCTCTAGAGTGGCGAATAAAGAGTTGTCAAGACCCTTACGTCGCGTGATCGAATTTCACTAGCTGCAAGACATGGAGACCGGTCCATCAGGATAAGCCGGGATCCCATTTTACAGTAGGATCATGCACGTATAAGATATTTCAATGTCTAATTGGCCGAGTAAAGGTTTATAATTTTCAGCCCTCTATCGGCAACTGTTTGAATATGAGAGGAAATTGTTTAAAAGGGATGTTTAAAAAACAAATAAATAAATAAAATAACAAAAGGTCCATTGGTCCTACAGGTCACCTGAGCATCATGCAACAGCTCTCCAACAATTGAATTTGGTTCATTCACAATTTTGAAAGAGGCACCATCATTATATATATAGCTTTACACTTAGCTACTAATCAGTGATATTTAGTAATAATCGGTAGTGCACCAAGTCCCCACCTCACAAGAACCCCATGACTCTAGGTCCAGACATTTTAGTGGTTTTGGTCCCACCCCGCAGGGTCCAATTAAGGTGGGGGGGTCATGAAATTCACCATGATTTTTGTTCCCCTTTACCCATAGATGCTTCATGCCAAATTGATTGAAATTGGTTGAGCGGCCGCAGAGAAGAAGCTGATAATGTTCAAATGTTAACGCACAACGCACGACGACGGACGAAAACAGATAGCAATAAGTGACCTAATAAAATCTATTAATATAATGCATATCCTTTGCAATTTTTACATTTCTCAAATTAAAATTGGACTTTGGCCACATTGGCGAATTTTAATACGCGGGTTTCGGTTTGTAACTCTCCTAGGATAGAGGCGTAAAACGTATCCATTTCAGCATGGAGGTGGGACAGGTTCTTTCTGTACACAAACGTGCATAAATAAATGAACGATGTTTATGGCTTTTAAAAATTATATAAAGTTATAGAAAGATACTAATGTTAAGCAGTGATGCATTTTACGATTTTATCAAGCTCAACTGTGTATATTTCAATTATAGGGTACTTGAGAACGAAATAAATGTCGTGGTCCTTATAAAGAGTAAAAGAGTTTCTTGATTGTACAAACATTTTCTAAAAAGTTAGTGGGTTCTTTGAAGTTATAATAAGGGAAATAATCAATGTGTCATTTAAATTGCCGACATGCAATGTTCAGATGCATGTATACCGTATTTATTAGAGGTTCACTGATATTTTCTTTTTTGTTCTGATTTTTTTGGCTTTCAAAAAAATGACGCCTTTACATTAATTCGGTTATTCTCGAGTTGAAAAGTGCATCTTTACAATTATGTACATGTATTTATGATAAACCAGTAAATTGATGATGCGATATATCCAATATATAAATAACTGTCCCACCTGTTTGTTTACGCGGCAACGAAACTCCCCTCCTCAACGAAAGAGCGCACCGAGGGAGATAATCTCGAAACTTGCGTATTGCTATCGTTGTTTTGAACATATTTTATTGAAAACATGTCAAAGGGATTGGACACTAGTTCCAAAAACTTAGTCCTCTCTCATACATAAAATATCAAAAGCCATACAATATTTACAAAGATTTACAATTTTACAATAATATACAAGTACATGAACGTAGAAGAGCAGAAACAATAGCTATTATTGCCAAACATATCGTTTAAGTACCTATATTTGTAAAAATAAGTTTGGTTTATTTTTTTATCGGAAAAAATAACTACATAAAGGTTTACGAAATGACATTACATTCCAAGAACTTTTTTTAGCTAAGTGAACGCTTTAGTTTTACACGAAGTTTTTAGGACGGAATCCTTTCCCCAACTCAATTCCTTCCAATTTTGCACAATAAAATTTAATTTTAAACCAAATAATCATTTCTTCATAACTTTCAGATTAATTTCAGCATCAATAGCAGAGATGACATAGATAAATGGACCAAAGTAGGATAGGAAGAAAAGACTTGTGCTTAAGGAAAAGGAAAACTATTCGTAGAGCTGATTTACGTATTCCTACACAATGAGTCTACTAGGTGGGTAAATATTGTGTTTTCTTTCTTTTTTAAAAAAAAGGCTACCCTTCTCGGAGAGATGTTAAGCAAACGAAAAAAAGTTTCAATGTATCTTGTTGTAGAAAACGTTAAGATGGACGCATAAACTCAGAAAAATCCCTATACCTTGACAAATAAAAAAGTATAAAACGTACAGCAAATTTTTCTGTCCACTGGTAATTCAGTTTGTATTAATGTATTAAGGCATATGACATGTACCTTAGTTTGAAATTCTTTCCCACTTCTAAATATGCAGTATCTTTTAACAGAATGTCCACCATTGTTCAGTCTCCCCAAAACAGAAACTGCGCATGCTACACCGGATATCATACTTAACACACGTGATCGATATTTTGGAGCGGAAGTCATAATTTCCTGTCCAGGCGAATACCATGTCGTTGGAAAAAGTGCTGCTAAATGTTTAGAATCTGGAAGCTGGGATCTCGATAAACTACCTCACTGCTCTGGTACGATTTCTATTTGATATTCTTACATTAAGCAAAACTACATATAATAAAAAGTTTTCATTAACTCTGAAAAGGTCAGAAATTTTATAGAAAATATGCTAAAGTTTGATGTTTATTTTCATTTCATGTATTTCTATTTAAAATCTATATCAAAATGTTCAATCATTGAGCTAATTTGCTATATCCAATTACAGTAATTGTTTAACAGACCCCAACCCCACAAAAAGTCATCTTGTAATATTGTAAAACATACATGTGTAATATTAATATTTGCTGCATTATTTCTTGTTTGATTTGAATGAAATAAGCGTATCTGTTAAATTTGTTTGATTTACACACTAGAACACTCTCAAAACTAAAAAAAAAAGCATTTCTCAAATTAAACTCTCATTTTTAGATGTAACATATGGAGTCCCGGATTCCACGAAGCTCTATATCGCCGTCTTCGCTAGCTGTGGTGTTCTTGTCATCCTCTCCTTTGCCGTCCTCATCGCTAGAATCCTCTGTGTTTTTCGAAGACCACTTGCACAAAGGTAAAAGTTCAGGCGGGTTTAATTTAGAGCATGACTCGAATACAAGGAAAAATACATATAAAAAAGCACTTATTTCGAGCAGTAATTGTGTGTTAAATGTAAAAAGCTCTTTCACTTCGGAAACAAAACTTAAAATGAATGGTTTGTTAAAATTTGAGGGTATTGTACGAAATGAAGGTCAATGCCAAGTCATTCAGAAGATATTTGAGAAGTTAACTTAACACTTAACTGTGACAGTTTTAAAAGTTATGAAATATTGAATGCAAGTAATATGAATCAGAAATAAATTGTGTTTAATTTTCAAAAACTTCACTTGATAAAAATTCTTAAACATTTCAGCTCTAGAGACGATCTAGGTAAAAGCACGGAATCTGTTGCTTCTATTCGATATTTCCCACAAGATGCACAGTATCAGGAAACTGTGGTAGATATGCCTCAAAAGGACGGAAGGTTCGAGAGTTTCTGTAATCCGGGTTACGTGAGCAACGAGGCGTATCCACATACACGCTGGCACAATGAGCAGCATGCGCATAACGGTTGGGGAGGCAGACAATCCAGTTATGATAGTTCATTGGATAATGAATCGTCATTAGGTTATATGTAAGTGAAAAAATATAGAAAGCTGACCGAAAAGAACGAAGCAATATTGCAAGAAAACATTTGTTATTGCAATATCAGAAATGATTATGTGTTTATATTTTAGAGTAGACGAGCCTGATGATACACAGAGGGCATGGAATTCTACCGGAAGCACAGAAATTTACGAAAACGACAGGTATTCTTTTTTTAAGCTATGTTTTTACAATCTGATTGCATTGTATAGGCATCACAGGGTTTTTCTGACAAGTAATTTGAAATAAAAGCAGATCTATTTTATTGCAGAGGAAATTTCTTATTGAAATTAAGAATTTGTTTTGAATATAAATAAATCCACCGTATTTCAAGTTCTGATCATGCCTTTGTTTTGCAGGTATAACAGACTTTCACGTCAGTCACGAATACAAGAAGTCATAGAAGATGATAGGACACCATTTTGAGTTGCTGCTCTTATTCAGTAATTAGAAAATATTGGACTTAAAATCTAATTCAACTGGATACTTGTACAGACTTTGTGTGCCAAGTACATGTAACCATGGATATTTTTCATAACAAGACGTCATTTTGCTACTTTATAAATGATATGTAAAGATCTGTATTGCCTAATTTATTGTATTCCACGTGGACCTGTGATATTCTAGTTTGACAATTGTTTTGTAGATATTTCTATTATTTTACATAAAATATCAATAAATGAGATTGATTTACTGCAATTACAATGTATTTATATTGTAACGTTTGAGGAAGGGCCAAGCAGTATTAAAGGATTTACACATGAATGTACATGTATATTATGCGGTAGTTTACCTGGGTTTTTTGTTTATTTCTGTTTAACGTCTCTCTCGAAAATTAATTTACACTTATATGGAAACGCCACTACTGGCCGAGCCAGAAATAGCTGCGAATTGTGTCCTTTACTCGGCACTAAAGGGGATTAAACAATGAGAGATTTTTTTTCTCGTTTCAACGCCTACTGCGACACGTACGGACTTCGGTTTATACGGTTTCATCCGAAGGACCGGTCTTTATATCACTCAGGTTGATTAAATATAAATGTGCTTTAAGAATAGAAAAAAATGCGAATTTTAATTTGTACAAAAAGCAATATGCTTTTGTGTGTATCTAAAGTAGAATTTATTTAATGCAAATTGGACAATTTACAATCACAACTCTGCATTGGTGACAATGTAAACACAAGAATTAATTTTATTATTTTTTTTTTATCATTTTATATTTTCGTCAATTACTGCAATATGTACACTTGGGGCAATATGTTTTTCATGTACCAGCATACAAGTATATCCTTACATCTACATATGTATCCGTTCCTTTTCCGGAAAGCCTCCATGTTTAATCCACTGTTAAGGCAAGTTTGTTTTTCTTGATTTTACTGAATTGCTTAATATTTGACATTTACTGTATTATTTTGTTACACCCCATTACGTTATTTACATAAAGCGGAACTGCAGTGGGGTTCGAGACCAAATTTTACTGTTTGTGTAAGACCTATTCACAGATCTATGGCTAGGTGTATTATGTTATAATTTTTCTCTCGGAATTTTAATAATTAACAATAATAATCTTTCTGAAATGATTCTTTATTTCGAAGTTAATTAAAAAACAATTCATTATTATGGCATTAATTGATACATATTTACAATGTCATGTGTTTTCACATCACTCAACACCTTGTTGAGGAAAGAAATAAAATGAAAGCGTCAAGCATTAGCAATCGCAAATTAAAAGCCGAATGCTTCAAACTTTTGTAAATATAACTGTGATTTTTTTTCTTCAAAAAAAAGGTGGCTCCTATCAGCCACGTAGCTCAAATCACTTGACTCGACACTAATATACGTGTTTTATATATATATACAAGTTTTATATACAAGGTTATTACAGTTTATTAACCGCCATCATCAGGAGCCTACATGTATTTGCACATCTCATACAGATTATCAAATTACTTAAGAGATGCACTGTATGTGCACAGCATACATGTATATTTCTTTTCTAGGGCGTTGTAAGGGGTCAGCAATCGGTCAATTAGCCGAGAGCAGTGTTTTCCACAAATCCTCGAGTTGTTAAAGTTGTCAGAAACATTTCATGTTATTCAACAAATGAGCTTGAATTCTGTTCGTTTTCTTTTTATTTTACAGTCAACAACTGAAACTTAAATTGCAACTTCTTCGTTTAATATTTTATTAAATAGTAGATTAGTAAATATTTCTTGTGTTACATGTGTCTTTCTTAAGCTATGAAATTTGAATGCGTATCTTTTAATTTAAAGGACAACTTAAAGTCATATACGCTGTATGAACACCGAATTTTGTGTGAAACAAAATGATAAATGATTTAAAACACATGAAGTGTAATGAAAAAAAAATACTTTCCGCAAAATTGTACTATAGATGTCGTTCTAATAACAAAACAATTAAGCATATATAGGAATTAAAAATTCAGTCTTTTCATGAATATTGATGAAGGAAGTGCGTAAATAGTAGGCCTATATATAGAAACACATGTCCACGGGAAATCACAGACAACGAGGTATGTTGCATTTTGACAACCATTATTAATATTAAGCTCAATATGCGTCATAACAGAGAAGATGGTTGATACTGAATACATTAAAAAATAAGTACCATTAAGAGTAAGACGCTTGCCATCCACGTCCAAAGTGAGTAGTATCTCAAACGGCCTACCTTGTTTTTTTAATTGTGTTTATTATCTAAAAGTAGCACTGCGTCACTGATATTTATTTAAAAATAGCTATTTTTCTTTCCTTGCAGGATAATAAATAATTATAATTTGATAACTTTGTAACCCGTTTAATTTTAATGGTGTAATTTACAGTATTTTCGTAACTTTTATTGATAAACAAATGATATCAATTTCCAATCGTATTTTAACTGGCGCAAGTTATAGCGTGTATACTTTTAACGTTGTAATCATATTTTACCTTTTGTCTGTGCAATTTTATCGTTATTCAATCGGCAATATTTTAATATTGTTAGACTAAAACATTTGATATTCAGATAGTCAGTGAATACGATGCATTGAAATCTCTTCAGTGCCAAGTTGTTAATTTTATATGTCTTGTTAAAAATAAAATATTTGAGCATTGTTGAGTGTGGAAAAGAATGAAGTTCTATTCTAGATCTGACGACGGCAGTGCTGGAGAAAAATGGAAAACAAATCCAGTGACTCCGAGTACATTGAAATGACCAGACGAGGTCTTGATTTAGAGAGAGAAAGTATCTATGACGTCATTCCAGCGGATGATAATGGCGGAACACAAACTTCCGTTTCCAATGGTACAATTAAAAAATGTGTTAAACATGTACTTTTTTGTGTCCAATTTTTTTTTCACAATATGCATATATACGCATTACTTGATCTTTTTTATTGTTTGTTTTCTGAAAATTTATTTTGTGTGTGTGAAGATTTTTGACATAAAACAATTTTTTTTAATTATACAATAATGTTTACTTATCAAAACTTGTAGAGAAAAAAGAGTATGAGGGCTATATAAAAAGAAACACCTAACACAGATCAAGAGAGAGAAAAAATTCTCTTATCAAAGTAATTTTAAGGACACAGCAATAAAAAAACAGGATTACATGCATTAATACAATAAATGACGATACAAATCTGTGAAAAAGCATAACATCAAAATTTTATGGACACACACAATCACACCCCCAGGTCCATACATTACTGATGCTGCTTTCATGATAGTAATTCTTATTTTGAAGATCATGGCGATTACCTTGCACCTGCTTCATGTCAAAGGCTTTATGAACCCTCAGCTAAAATTACTCAAAGTAAAGGACGAGGAACAAAGAATCCCAGAGGCGGATCTAGGATAAAAATGTTTTTAAGGGTGCGGTACACAGCAATAACACTGATAACAATTTATACAGGTAAAAAATACAATGTCATATCATTTATACACAAAGGGAAATCTTTGTAAATCTTGTTTTAAAAATTAATGAACTACATGTACAAACTTGAGATGTGCTTTGAATCAACACGTTGCATTTGATTTTATATATTTAATTTTGAAAGCTAATGTAATGAAGGAAACGGATCCAGCTGATGAAAATAAACCAGATCCAAATTTCAATTTGGAATTAGGTACGTCAATATGCAAGGCTCAAAAACATGTCTTCTTTCACTTATGAAAAGTTATAATTTTATACTTAAGGAGGCTCATTACACCACTTTTTGATAACGTACTACACAAAAAAATAAACCTCCATTGTTTCGACCGTTTTCCTCTGGTGACGAATAGTACAGGTAACTCTATAATATGACCCTGACCTTTAAAACGCTTTAAAAATAGATGAAACATGCGGTGTTATAAACAGTGAAAACAAAGTAACGGATTTATTATGCATAGACCAAAAAGGATTGCTTTTAAACAGAAACAAAAGAAAACAACAACCAAATCTTCGCCAAATAAGTCTTGTGCAATTTCATAGCGATGCATGCAGTGAGCTCTATCAATGATATGTTTGTATGGAAGAAATTCGAGTTAAAATCTACAACCTTATTGAAATTAAAAAAGTTATTCACTTGCACTATTTACTGTGTTGGGGTTAATTTATATATTTGCTTTACTGATTTAAATATATACGCTGGCAATTTAAAGCTTTCTTATGAATTTTAGATGTAATGTTCAAACGTTCCTTAGTGTTTTGAGTCTTGGCTAATTAGGAAAGATAACTCTTGAAAGTGGACTTTTTAATACCAAATATTTTTTAAATTGGAATTTTCATTTCGTTTAGACACAGGGGCATCTTACCCACTCTGTTCTCTACTTCACATATAAAAATACACAAGGGAAGAATCGAAAGTAGCACACGATTTTAAAAATAAGTCAAAAAACAACTTACTTGAGAAAAGTTAAACAAATCCTGAAATGAAATATCGCAAATGATGTCCTATTACTTATCCAGGCTAAAATATTCCAGATATATCCACTTTTATCCAATAAAACCCCAGCTTTCTTGTGAAATTTAAATTAAAAATTAATGAACCACGTGTACAAAACTTGACTTGCGCCTTAATTTCACACTTTGCATTTCATTTTATATATTTATTTTTTCAAGTTAATGTAATGAAAAAGATAATGACATTAATTGTTTTTTAGGAGAAAATTATTTTTTCTAATAAAATTAATATTAGGTATTATGAGGTATTTTCAAACTTTAATATGACTGTTGAAAGTTATGTAATTCTGGTGATAATAAACTTGAAATAAAACATTTCAAAAATTAGACAAAAGCTAAAAAATTCAAAAAATATTTATGATATCAATACCTCTTTTGGATATTTAACATGTACATTATAAGAAAAATTAAAATAAACTTATATACCACCTTAACCTATCAAATGAATTTACTTTTATATAAATTGAGAAATATGCCATTAGTGTTGACGTTTCACATCACTTTATTGCAGATATACGGAAGCTAGTTAAAGCCACACTGTTCACTAACACAGCAATCGACTACCGTGTTATCAAATTACTACCACCATTTGTGAATCCTCTAGAGTTTATGTTTGAAATATTTAATGCTGATCGGATTCCTTTCCGGGTGAACGAACGAGGAGTAGTGTTAGTAAAGGGAGGTTTAACTGCAACAGTGTATGAATTCATAGTCAAGGTAACAAATCAACGCCTTGGAGAGTCTGTGCTAGTAACTGTGATAATCAGATGTAAAGATCCGAATGAAACGGTTTCGTCTTCTGTGGAATCGGATGAAATTGGAATTATCAGCTTATCTACCGTTAATTCAGGGCTGAGTAACATCCCTTTGACCTCCTTGATCTTGCTTAGCACCGGCATTTTAAAGTTTTCAGAGACTTACTCTAACTGGCTAAGCACTGAACAATTAGCAATCAGTCCATCTAAAGTCCATTATTCGTCTCATCAAAAGTCATCGGAAATCACAACAGGCACGGAAACAACACAGTTTCTAGCATCAGTTACAGGCACAACTTTATCACTGTCTTCAATATTGATTTCGGACTCATTTATAAGATCTGTTTTCTTACAAGAGTCCTCGCTTAATTTAGAGTTCTATGCAACATATACGTATCATACACTCTCTCCGTCCTTCAACGGCGTTATAGAGAGTACAACCCAGTACACAAACTCACTTACACCTAGCTTATCAACCTTAGCTTCTACAGAGAGAACGGTAATTCTTTAGATTTATGAGATAGATTTTCTGATTGTGCATTACAAAATGCCATTCCGCACATGTTTTATACCGTAGGAAATTCGGAAAAGAAAATTTGCATACTTAGTACTTGAAAATAAAGAAAATACATTTTCACATTGACTTTGTATTGATTTTCTTGCACAAGGATAAGAAAATACTTCTTATAAAGAAACTGCAACTCTAACTGGTTATGAGGCTGCTTCAAAGAATGACAATGCATCTTCCAGTTTACTGAGTGCTCACTGGGAAGGTTACTTATTGGCAATACTCTACCATTCAGTAACTGTAAAACAACTATTTTATGCGTCTTTTGTTAGCGAGATATCAGTCCCAAATCAATCCGCGAGAATTAATTTTCACGACTGATGACACATTTCTCTATATAAATACAAAGCAAAATGAGTGGTTTAAGTCGATTTATATTCGCGAGTTAAAGGAGGTGCGCGGAACTCGCGTATATTTCTCGCACGCGTATTATAGTTGGTTTGCAGTACTTTATACAATTAACTAAATTGCAGAGCATTCTCCCTTACTTGCCCTGTCTTTACTCTTTTCATCGGATAAGATCCCCCAAATTCATTCAAAAAATGATGTCATGTATCTGATAAATATACATAGTTAGAATTGACGCTTCTTATATTTCAGCAAAAGTAAGAGACACAATTCTTCCCTGCTTCGAGATAACCTAGCACATGTTCTTTTACATGTACAATGTACATGTACTAATTCGACTTGGAAGTTGACGATGGAGTTTTGTCTAAATTCCCGACGGTATGATGAACAAACACCTTCTGTTTTAATAACTAGAAGAGCAGATTTTTATCTTGCAAAACTTCTATAATACGTAAGTAAAATAAATATTCAAAATCAGAGACAAAAATCAATGGATTGTAAATACTTGAAATGTCCGTACATAATTCTCAGTCTCGGTCATTTTGAATGCTCTATACACCTTTAGGGATATTCATTCACACAATACACTAAAACGTCGTTCTTTTTTATTTTTGGGAAACATCGCAAAGAAATACTAGTAAAACGACATAAATTTGTAACACATCTCAAATAAAACATCTTAATAAATAACTTGCTTTAGAATTAGTCGTAATACAACATGTTTATATCCGAATCCGATCATCAGAAAAAGGATTTAAGTAAATGTCCCACTAATTTCTTAAACAGTGTTTTGAACTCGTAAATATATATCTTCAATTTTTAAGAAATCTTTAACATTTTTGAAATCATGTTTATTTCCGAATACTATGGAAACAGACTCAGTAGCTCTTAATTTGACGTCTGGTATTTCGTTTTTGCCGTCACTCCAATACTGTTTTTGAATGTTGCCTATATTTTGACAAACATAGTGCACCCTTTTGCAAGAATGTTTTTCACCACATCCGAATGTTTCTAAAAGGGACACGTCAGCATTCTGTGGGCGTATTCCGAGCTCCCACATTTTCTTCACCATATTAGGTCTCCCCAGATACACAGCGAGGTGAAGGGTGGACGGTATTTCGGTATGATTACGATGGAATGCAATATCTTTGTCGACGCTTAGAAGGACATCACAGACATCTGTATTGTTATGCATTACTAAGTAATGGAGGATGTTATTTCCATATTCATCGAGCAGGATTGCTATTTCGTTCTTTTTAACCTCGGGTTTCTTTTTCAGCAGCAATTCTAGAATGAGTCTGAAGTCAGAAATTGGGGGAAACGAAATATGAAAATCAGGTTTATCAATAAGGAAAAAGGGGTTATTTTTGTTTTCTGCAAAGTCTATATCTTCGCGTCCATACCTTATTCCAAACAAAGCTGCTTGTACTACAGTAAAGCTTTGCTCAGGCATCTCTAAAACACTCATTTCATCACTTACAAACTTTTTTAACAATTTCCAACGTCCCGCAAAAGCGGCCAAATGACTAAATGACCAACCATTTTCTGCGTTCAATGAGGATTGTAACTTCAGAACCATCTCTACTGTTGTTTCCCATCCTTTGAGTATGCAACACTGGGCAAACGTCAAAGAACGACCGGAAAATGAGCAGTTTTCTTCAAATACACTGTATAAAAAAAATAAGAACTAAACAACAGTACCAGCCAGGCACAACCCAACAGAAAGCGGACCCCAACGGAACTCAGGGTTTCTTTTGTTCGGTTTGAATCCATTAGAACTGGCCCCGAGCTATTTTATCATTTATCATATACATTGAAAAGGCAGTGCACATATAATAAGTGTCTAAAAAAGAAACCTTTTTTATGTCATTATTGACAAAGTCCACTGGGTTGTACATCGCTGATGGCACCTGATCCTACAAAGTACCTCAGATGTTTTGGGTGGTCCATGTTTGCTCTGCTCCTATTTTGTATTGTTTGATGGTCTTTTCTGCTTGAATGCTGTTCTTTGTCCCCATGTATTTCATTTATACACAATCAATTCACGAAAACGAGGGAAGAGGACCCTTATTATTGTGAATCATAAGACAAGTATACTTACATTTACTTGTACCTTTTTCATATTCTGGCGGAGAAAAATGACTAGACATCATAACTGAAAATTCCTTAACAGGCAAAAAGTAAACATAAAAAGAAGGAAGAAAAACGTCTGAACTAAAAAACAAAATCCTGGGGTAAACTTTCCTATCAACAAACGAATTTCATAATAGAGGCTACATTGACAATACAAGGGACGATCTGACTATTATGCAAAAACACAAAATGTGAAACTAAACTATGTAGTGACTGGAAAGTTAACCAAATAACGACACAATGGCAAAGCTTTGTAATTCAGTTACTTTCCAGACTTTCAGTTAACTGAATGGAGGATCGATCGAATTTCTTCATGGTCATAAGAAAGGGGGATGAAACTTCATATGATCATGCTCTAACAACTAAAATTTTGCTTGAAAAGCCTCCACCATGAAAACAACGTGCCTTTTTTTACTGAATCTTCTGCAAAATAATTACTTGATCGTACAAAACTACACAGTTTTCCCCGTTTTGAGCATACAGATCTTATGATGTTTATTTAATATTCTGAATCAGAAGCACAATCATGTTTGTTGTTATTTGAGAATAACACATGAATACAATCAGGATGACAAATAAATAAACTTTTGATTTTGTTTTAAGTGGACTTATCAAGGGCTAAAGTTGCCAGTCAGATCTCAAGATTCGAATGTGGAGATTATGCATGTGAAAAATCTTATGTAGCATCAAACGCAGTTGATCGAGACATGTCAACATGTTCAAAAAGCGAAGATATTGGGCTTAATTCTACCAAGAAAAGTTATTGGTGGAGTGTTGATCTTGGAAAGATTTACAGCGTATACAGCATCAGTATCTTGTTCAAGAACTATAATGGTTATGGTGTGAGTTTTTATGCTATCACATACTCTATTGATGATGGAGTTTCATAAATATGGATATTGGATTATAATCAGAATGATTGAATAACTGTTAAGACAAGGGTTTTCCACCTTTTGAGAAAAAGATAACAATATAGTAACTCTTTTTCATAACATGCACAGTGCATAGCCCTAATATAGTTCGCAAAATGGCGGAATTTTTTGAACATGCATCCGTGCAAAGAAGATGTGATGAGCACAAGTCTATAATATACAATTATGGACTGTTTTGAAAGGTAGACAACACGAATTATCAGGTTTGAGTACAACCGTACTCAGACCTGATAATTGGTGATGTCTCCCTTCTAAACAGTCAATAATAGTTTTTTTTTATTCTGAAGAATCTAAATTATCAGTAAGATGGAGTAGAAAATAATAATCAAACCTCTTGTGTTCTCCTACTCTGCTCTCATTCCATACTTTAAAAATATGTTTGACCTCCACCAACAGACAACTTTGAGGTCATCGTTAGAATTTTTGTTTACCGATCCCGCATATTTAGCAATTGTATTTATAATTATAAATTAGAGTTATCTCGCTTTAACCACTGTATTTTCATTCAAAGGGCGACAACAAACTGGAAACCCAGCATGTTCGCTTGCACTCTTTATTGTCATCTGAGGGGTGACAACAGTTGTCACCCTGCACGTGAGGGAGACATCACGAATTGTCTCATCTCACGTGACGTGCTCTAAACAAATGAGATTAACTGTATAATTTTGAAGGATAATAATATTTATTTCGAAATTAAAAAAAAAAGATTATAAATCGTAAATTAAATGATTTTTGTTTCTTTTTTTTTTTTTACACAGAAATGCGACAAAGAGGCCGTTTTGCGGGTTTTTCTCTTTATTTGTCGAATTCAAGTCTCCAAAAGAGTGACTTCTTGTGTTATGAGGATAGAGAAAAATTGCCTTCATTAAATTTTACGACAACGTGTGTCGGACACGGACAATACGTTACATTTTACAATCAACGACGCAAAGAAACCAATTATCCAGACGAATACCAACAAAATACAGTCATTGAATTATGCGAAGTTATAGTGAATGGTAAATAGCTAATTTTATTTACCATTTTTTTGTAGAAAGAAAAAAATATAATCGGGGATGAAAAAATTTATCTCATTTATTAAATATCTTCAGGATCTACTTTTAATAAATTTTAATTCAAAATGAAATAAATGCAAATTACCTGCATCACTTAGAGTCTAAAAATTCAAAACATTAATAAGGTTGTAGCGAAGCCGATGTGTATGGAGAAAATTGTGACAGAGCATGTCCAAAGAACTGTCAGGAACAGAGGTGTGACATCATCAACGGAACCTGTCTGGGATGTTACCGGGATGGACCGGGCTATTTTGTCAAAACAGTACAAGATATTGATAACAATAGTTTCTCAGTAATCCGAAAGCCAGGAATGCGCAAGCTTATCTGTATAACGTCATTTTTCAGGAATATTAAGAATTTACATCTAAATTTACCAATTATAAAATTTCAATTTCAATTATGCTTTAATTAGGCCATTTTTAAAATAATGATTGCTTGCTCTCTATTGACGCAAGACAAAACTTTTGAATCGGAAGGTCCTTTATAGAAAAATTGAATATACATGTTGACGGGATAAGGAGAACAACAAGAAAAAGATTTCGTGTCCAAAAATGTAAAAAAAAAAAAAAAAAAGGTTTTTGGGTCGGACCATTTTTTAGTCAGTCGATCAGGAAACCAAACATTGATTTAGAACATAACCTACTTTTTCAGCCTATCAAATGCTCCCATTTCACGCGAGGAATTGATTCTTCATGAAGAAGAATATTTTTTCTATTTCTGAAATGATAGGACAGTTATATGGGCTTGTCTATATATATATGTTTTAATTCTCACATAAAAGAAAAAAAAAATATTCCAACGTGTTTTTTTCATATTTTGATTTGACTAGGCCCCCATTTTTTTTCATGTCCATTTTTAGCCGGGCTTATTGCTCAAAGAGCAATTGCCGGCTTATGTCATCCCGTTCAAGGCAGGAAGTCAACCCCATAGTCGCCATTTTAAAGTTACGTGCAAAAATATAGTTCTTTCTCTCAACCGCTTTTGAGATACAAACGCTAAATAAAGCAACAAAAATGAAACGAAGTTTTATCTATATAAATAAATATTAGTAGTAATGACTTTGTAAACTTCAGTCCTAAGTCAAAGAACATAGATCATTAGCGTAAGGATTTTTTGATAATCAGTGTTATCAAAGTTCTCTACACATATACGAGGTAAAGCAGGGGGAGGGAACGAGACTGGCCTGATTGTTTACATTCGGCGGTACCAGATTAATTCCGATTCTGACAAAATCGGACCGTGGTATTAGGATTGAAAAAATTGAAAAAACTCACTGTCAGTGTCTTATCATTTATATTGATAGTTTTAAAATAATTTTTTCATCAGAATATAAACGTGATTCATGTAAGAAATTCATTCTACTCAGTAAACGAGCCCGGCTCCCTGTACTTCTGAGTACTTTGATAATCTTTTGTTGCCTTTCTGAATACTGTTTTTCCCCCCATATTTCGGTACATACAAAAAATACAATCATCATTATGTGTATCAGAGACCAACTTCGACCTTGATGAAAGATTTATGGCATAATTTTCATCATATTTTCAAATAACAACAAAGCGTTGTGGACTAGTTTTTTTGTTATCTTTACACAATTATTTTAAAAGAAAATCAAACATGAACAGATTTTTATTTATAAGGATATTCATCAACACAGAGGCTTTAATATCTTCATCATGACCAATTTCCCAGTAAATCAAAGTAATTTCATTCAATAAGTCCCTGCTAACCTGAATGGGTTGCAGTCCATTCTGAAACCGCGTGTGTTCGATATTGATTGTGAGTTGATATGTACAATGAGCGATCGATTCAGGCATTACATATAACACTATCGTGGAGTTTATTATACCCCACGCAACTAGTTGCGGGAGGTATAATGTTTTTGACCGGTCCGTCAGTCAGTCAGTCAGTCCTCTTTTTTTGTCAGCGCAACTCCTCATAAACCGCTGCACAGAATTTCGTCAAACTTTGCAGGTATTTAGAACACAATGTGTAGATGTGCATATTACCAGGAAATTTCGATTCCATTATTTTACCGGGAATTTCTGCACATTTAACATAGGCATTTGGCCATACCTTTTACATAGAGATGAACAGTTTGTCAGCGCAACTCCTCATAAACCGCTGCACAGAATTTCGTCAATCTTTGCAGGTATTTAGGACACAATGTGTAGATGTGCATATTACCAGGAAATTCCGATTCCTTTATTTTTTCCGGGAATTTCCGCACTTTTTAACTTAGGCATTTGGCTATACCTTGAATATAGAGATGAACAATTTGTCAGCGCAACTCCTCATAAACCGCTGCACAGAATTTCGTCAAACTTTGCAGATATTTAGGACACAATATGTAGATGTTCTTATTGCCAGGAAATTCCGATTCCTTTATTTTTTCCGGGACTTTCCACACTAAAAACTTAGGTTTTTGGCCATACCTTTTACATAGAGATGAACAGTTTGTCAGCGCAACTCCTCATAAACCGCTGCACAGAATTTCGTTAAACTTCGCAGATATTTAGGACACAATATGTAAATGTGCATATTACCAGGAAATTCCAATTCCTTTATTTATCCGGGACTTTCCACACTTTCCAACTTAGACCTTTTGGCCATATTTTGAATAGAGAGATGAACAGTTTGTCAGCACCACTCCTCCTAAACTGTTGTACATCGTTTCGTCAACCTATGCAGATATTTAGGACATATTCCATTATTTTATCCCAAAGAGTTTTGCCTATTATTCAAGAAAATTTCTCACCCCCCCCCCCCCAACCACTTCAAATTAATGTGTGGATTTGTATATTGCCAAGAAATTTTGATTCCATTATTTATCTAGAAACTTCATTCCACATTTAAATGTCCTCATATGCAAGACATTTTGATGTGAAGATTTTTTTGCAATTTTTGCCCTTTTTGATCTATACTATGTATTTAAAGTGCACTGTGCCTTTCATTATGTGTTTTACCGTCAAGTTATGGGGGAGCGTGGGGTATGTGAGCTAGCTCACTTTTTCTTTCATTTTTGATTCATTCATTTGATGGCTGGGATTCTGTTCTAAGTCAGTAAGATAATATTTAGAGAAATCTTCGTCACAAAATATGGGCTCCGCCCCCCTTTGCCCATTCTTCATGACGAAGATTTCTTTTAATACGATCTTACTATTACAAGGAGTATAATTCTGAAGATTTCTATAGCAACACAAGACATTCGGATTTATGGGGCTCTATTGTACATTAAAGTTAAATTACTTATTTTCATTTATTTAGTTTAAAGCAAAAACCATCTTATTTGAGATCGCATGTTTGTTGTGAATGTTAAATTGTTGATTTGTTTATAAATCTGGATTTCACAGAGTGCCAAGGAGGAAGGCATGGTCTTGAATGTAAAGCAAGTTGTTTTGGACATTGCAAAAACAAGGCATTTTGCAACCACGAGACTGGTCAATGTGACAACGAATGTGCTGAAGGGTGGCACGGAATATATTGCGATGAAAGTATGTTTTGTTTTCAATATTGTTGATGATTCTGTTTCGAACGTGTTTTTTCCGGTATTGATGATTTTATTTCTTAAGTTTGAAGTGGTGTGGTCGACAGGGGATGCTTACTCCTCCATGGCATTTGATCCCACCTCCGATGTTTTGGAGGTCCGTGTTTGCTCTACTCATATTTTGTACTGTTTAATGGACAACGTATTTTCAACTACCAATAGTTACTCAATCAATATGCTGACAATGTATCCTAGTGAGCTTAATATTTGATTATTTTACTGTCCAGTATTCGTTCTGCTTCAGATTTGTTTTGTTAAAAAGAACTTTGAGCTTGAAAATTGTTTATTGTTTTCATGTTTCTTTGCACTAAATCTGAGGTCAGAAATTTCTTCCTGACCAATACATAGGACTCGGGGTCAATAGGGGATGCTTATTCTCTCTAGGCACCTGATTCTACTTCATGAATTTTTTGGGGGTCCATATGTATGCACTGATCACATGATTGTTCCATGCATTGTTTATATATCTTGTTTTTTTAAAGAGTGTACAAAAGGATATTATGGTGTGGACTGTAAATTCAACTGCAGCAGACACTGTAAAAAAATAACGACCCCTGTGACAAACAAACTGGACATTGTTATAATGGTTGTGCAGCGGGATATACTGGCTCATTCTGTAGCAGCGGTAATTTTTCTTATTATATTTACATTTGCAAATGTTTTCCTTTACATAACACTACTGAAGGCAAGCGTTTTTATAACTGTGTAAATACAGGTTTGGGGTCAAGAGGTCATAGATGTGCGTTTGGATAAACGTTCCACGTAATTTCTCTGTGACGTCATAAAGGGTCGACGCGCGTTTAGTAGATTACATACATGCCGTTGGGTTTGAAAAATTAACGCATTTCACACGTTAAAAGTAACAATCAGGCAAATATAAAGTATGAATAAGTCACAAATGTAAATATAAGTAATAAGGTATCATTTTTTGAGTTTTATCGAGATGTAAAACGGGTTGACACATGATCAAATCTTCCATAAAGCCCTTCGGGCTTTATGGGATTTGATCACGTGACCAACCCGTTTTACATCTCGATAAAACTCAAAAAATGATACCTTATTTCTTAAATATTTAAAAAAAAACAACCCAGGAGTCTCGTTATTACGATGTTCATTTTGACACAGTAAAATGTAATACCAAGAAAAACGTTATAAAACGTCCTAATCAATTTTATTAAACATCATGTTTGAAAGCGTATTCAAATTATCACCCATGGCAGGTTTATTAACCGCAAATAATCTCTTCTCCATGAGATTAGGTGTCCCTCCGCGTATTTCGGGAACGGACGTACATGTATGTATGAAAGGCTATTCAAACAGTACTAGTGTGACCACGGAGTCTGTGCAGAAGGATGTTTCGACAGTTACATGGGAGACATATGTGACAAATGTTGGAAAAGGATACAATAACATACATGAATATATACGACATTTTTATGCATTCCGAAAAGATGTGTACATGTATTAATTAATCGACTTAACGCCTTTTTAAAAAAAGAGATATGGTTTTTGAAGGCATTGTTCAGGGAATCAGCAAAAAAATATCGATTCGGTCTTTCATGTACATAATGAAAAATCAGTAAAGATATAATAATTAAACATAATCTGTGTTTAATTAATTAAAGTCGTTAAATTTTGTATTCAATGAAGCGACATAGATAAGATTTATAAAATATTACGTACTTTTGACTCGAGGTTCAGGTGTTAGTATACAAGTTAATTTTCTTTTGAGATGCCCTGCTCAAAGATTTGTTTTATATGAGGTTTTTGTGAGATCGATTATTGTTAAATATCGTTACCCTTTTTTCATCAATTTATACTGCGCTATTTTAATGCGTGAAAAGTATTTCTATTTACTTCATTATTATGCAGTTTGCGAAAAAGGATATTATGGTACAGAGTGTTCACAGAAATGTTCTCCTAAATGTATCGACACATGTCAACACACTGATGGCTCTTGTATTTGTTCCTTTGGATGGATGGGCATAAATTGTAATCGAGGTCTGTAAAATATATCGGCATGATATCTTTTTATGATTCATGGTTTAATCTATAGTATTTGTAATCACTTACCAAAGCATTACCCTCAATTTTGGTCTGATACTTCAGAATGCCAACCTGGGTATTACGGACTAAACTGCAAGGAAGAATGTAGTTTACACTGTGGTTTTAATGACACGTGTGAGAGATACAATGGATCTTGTCCAAGAGGATGTCAAGAACCCTTCACAGGAACAAACTGCTTAAAAGTGACAGGAAACAGCACACAACCGAAATGTAATGTATACATATCTGTATAACAAGGTAAAAAATATATATTTATTTCGAAACAAATTCAAAAGAGAAACTAAAATAAGTTTTGATATTTTCCACCTCTTCTTACCCCATCTTTATTTAGTTAAAAATGAGTTTTATGGAGAATATAAGAATTTTTGGGCTCTTTTTATTGTAACTACAGTAGATTTTATAGAAAAAAAGATTCTATATTCCTTAATTCATTATATCATTAAAAAGATTAATAATCTATTATATAGGTTCTATTCTTCCGTGGATCTTGGCACTCATTCTGTCAGTTGTACTGAATTTGTGTTGTGTTTTAATAGCTGTCTGGAAACGCTTCAGGTAATATGTAAAAATTATTTATTTATAAAATTTCATATTCAATTATTTGGTTTACAACAAGAGCAATTATAGCATTTTTTATTTACATTAACAATTTTTACATGTAAATACCGAAAGAAAATCTTAATTTATTTACTTTTTTTTTAAGGAAATCCTCAAATCAAACCTCTACTACTGCTGATTTAACAGATGACCAAAGTCCAGCACACGCTCAATACGAAGGAGGAATAACACCGTCTATCAAGAGAAGCTATCAAGAATTAAATGATAACATAAGTTATGAAAATGTTACGTTAAACCTGTGAAATAATGATGATTACAAATATCTACCTTTTTTCTAACGATACATAATGTTTATTTATTAGATATACAACGAAATCAACATTAACGTGCTTCAGAACTTTACTGTACATTTTATGTACATTGCGATCTATATTCATCTATTTTATACTGCGTTAAAGCATGCTCTATTCCTCTTGGGCATTCACGTACATGGTAGTACTAGATGAAAAACAAACCTTTTAGGTTCTCGCTTGAAAATACACATGCGTTTACATACATGTACTCTAATTAGAAATAAGATAGGTTATACTACTTTATAATTACTGGCTAAAAATAAATTTCTAAATTTAAGGAGAAATCCTTAAATTTGAATATTGCAAAAAATTCCACGTATATCGTAACTCAATCTGAACAGGAATTTTGTTTTAATTTTCTACAGAATGAGGTATTAATTTAGTATTTTAACAAATAAGGTAATAATACACCTTATCTTATCTCGTAGAGCAAATATTCAAAGGATGATTGGTTTCGAAAAAATTGTGAAGTCGTAGCTACAGAAATCGATTTTAATGGACACCAGTTCATGAATATGTCCGCAATATTTTTTTTTTTGTATTTCAGATTAGGTAAAAGATGTACATATTAAAAATGAAATTAATTTTCAATCAATAATCATTCACTACCATCTCAATCAAAGTGGATATAGTTTCACGAAACTGTATTCACGAAACTGTATTTTAACAAGATGTGTTTGTGAAACACTATGCGCCCGGCGGCAACAAAGTTTAAAAAAACCCGCATATTTTTAGCATATAAGTGTGTTAAGAAAGTTTAAAAATAAGTTTTGAAAATTTTGAAGTATTGTTTACTGAAAAGATAAGAAAAACTAAATTTCCAGTCTGGCGGCATAAACACAAGATAATTGTGCTTTCGATTCACAGCAATTAATTTTCACAGGAAATTACAGGATTTTTTTTAATATGAAAATATACATAACCATCTTTAAAACACTAAAATGATAAAAATGCTGGTCATTTCGCGTCAAAATGTTGGATTATTTACTCTTGTTATTCACAACTTCACAACTGATGAGGTTAGGTAAAAAGAAAGATTATAGTAATTTTTCCAAAGAATAGTTTGTCATATTCATATATTATACTTTCATGTAAATTACTTGTATCTGATTCGTCGAGAAACATTTGATAAAAAACACTACTACCCGCTGAATAATGAAGCCACACCCTCCTGCGTAGCAACAGTCAACATTGCTTGACGACGGGTGGTATTACAAAAAATAGCGACTGCGTGGAATTTATGCGCGCACGGTTCACTGTAATATGTATTTCTATAAAACATTCAGTATAATATAATAAATATTGCATGTAGTTAAGTGTAACATTGAAAATTTTCACCCCTCGAAAACCATTGTCAACCTCGGCTGCGCCTCGGTTGACAATGGTTTTCTTGGGGTGAAAATTTTCAATGTTACACTCAACTACATGCAATATTTATATAATATTCTATACCAACTAGAGGAGTTTTGCATAAGTATTTGAAAGGATATACTGACATATGTGCCTCAGATATTTTACAAATATGCTTCATCCCTGATTCTTCTGCACAGACATCATCTGTTTTAATACCTACCCTCCCCTTTTCCTTTCAATCAAACTCAGTTCAAACCTTATCAGTAGCAAGAATGGATTCTGTGAACATTAAATATCACAAACTTTAAATATCTTCTCTTTGTATTTCTTTTCGAAAATGAAAGAAAAATTGGGATTGAACATTCTTAACACCCTTTAGGTCACGGACAACGTAACAAGGTCATTGATCTTGGTGTCGTTTGAAAGACCTTGATTAGTGAAGAATGCATATCAAATCTGAAGTATCTATCTCTCATGGTTCAAAAAAGCTATTTTTAGCATAAAGGACACAGTCAAGGTCATTGACCTTGGTGTCATGGGAAAGGGCTTAATTAGTGGAGTACATGTATGCATGCAAAATTTTAATTCTCTTTCTTTTTCTTCGTTCAGAAGTTATGGCGGAGTTTAAAGTTTGCCGACAAGAAAGATATAATTAGCGTATAGGTCACAAGGTCATTCTCCATGGTGTCATTTAAAAGAGCTTACATGTAATTAGTGATGTATGCATACATGTACCAAATATGAGTTCAAAAGTAATGGCGAAGGTTAAAGTTTGCAAAAAAAACTATTTTAGCATATAGGCCACAGTCAAGGTTACAAGGTCATTGACCTTGGTGTCATTTAAAAGAGCCTAATTAGTGAAATATGCATACCAAATATGAAGTTTCTTTCATTCATGGTTCAAAAGTTATGGCGAAGGTTAAAGTTTGCAGACAAACAGATAAACAGACAGACAGGACAAAAACGATAAACGCCTCGATCGGGTCTTTCGATTCGAGCGCAAAAAAATCCGTAGACCTGATTCTCCACAGTTGTTACATTATGATACACCTTCTACCACTGTGCAGTTTTATTTCCTTTTGTAGTTCATCTGTAAGCAGCCATACTTTTTAATTTCTGTATTACGTGTGTATATATTTATTACGGCATTACTGCCTACTACAGTATCTGCATTGAATAATGTGTTCTAATATTCAAAGTGTTCTTTCGATTTTATAATTACTAGTAACTTTAAGATGTAGAAAAATTGATCCTGATAGCCTATGCAAGGACTTGAAATAATTCCGTGTAACTGCATGACATTATAAGCATTACGTAATTCACTTATTTACATACTTTTTGAATTTAAAATAAATGAAAAATTATTTCGTTGATTTCCTTATTTCCTTAAAATAAGGACTGTAAGACGTATGGAATCCTCTGCAAACATTATTATCAATGTTCTTTCATTGATCTCCGGATTTATGAATGCATATGGTAAGGTAAACTGACCTTCAATATAATTTTTTTAATCAATTATTTTTTCTGTACATTTTAAACTTTATTTATACTAAAAGCCAAATAAATATAGTACCGAAGGAATTATTTGACTGCCTTTCTATTACATTTAAAGTGCCACCTTATCAACTTAACGTAAACAAATGAATATTACATTATAAAAAGCTGGCTTTCGAGTTGTATGTTATTTTAATATTATTTGGTTTTTGTAAGAGATTCTTAATCCATATTCGTATCAAAAGCACAAAAATATAATCTAATTGATATCTGAAATAAAAAAAGCAGTAAACTTCAGTTTACGACTTTCTTCAATTCACTCAAACTGTTCACAGTACATGTAGCTCAGTCGCTAGAGCGCTAGTTCCGTGATTGGAGGTCGTGAGTTCGAATCTAGGCTGCGGTTGAACTACTTAAAGGCGATAAAAATACGTAGCAACTGTTTTTTGTCATGTGCTCGGCTCTTCATGTGCATTTATTTGAAAAAAAAACTGACAGAAATCTCTTCATCTCAATTTGTCACGTTGCTTAAGGTGTATATGTTGTTTAAATGAAAAATTAAGTATTTCATTACATGGAATATTTTTTAGAACAATTCTAAGTAAGGCGTGATATTCTGTTAGTTATCCAGGTTACATCAAGGGTGTACGGGGATTTACCCTTGATTGGAACTAGATAACGAATTTATTTCCTTTGTACCCATAAAAATGCTTTGTAAACATTAGAGTGTGACTCAATCTGATCTATCGATTAGATAACTACGAACTACAATGCATCATGACATCATGTTTTTGGTTTTTATTATAGAGAATGTATGCACTGTGACGTCACGTTTTATTTACACCTGGCTCAAGTCGGTTAGCCTGGTTCCCTGTCCCTGTTTTGTTTCGTATACTCTGCGTCACTAGATTTACTAATTTGATATAACAGATTAATAATTTGATATAACAGATTAATAATTTGTTATAACAGATAAGTAATTTGTTAAAACAAATTACTATTTTTTACAAAATTTGAAATGTATACAGATCTACGAAAGCCAGTCTAAGTCGCAATTTATGTGATTTCATCTGTTACGCATTGAGGTACCCATCTTTTTTTCCGCAACTTCTCGCATACCAATGAATGAAATTATATGAGACTTTCACAGAATCTTTATTCCACCTTGCCATTGTGCACCTCCTATTTTACTTTTTGATCCGACACATATTTTGGGTTTCCCATAGTAAAACATGGACACTGCCATTATATTTATATAGGAGGCGGGATGAGCTCACTGCTCATAGTACCTCTAGTTTTTGTTCTAATTTTATGTTAGTTTGAAAAAGTAATATTATCACATGTTCTTTTTTTCTTCTCTGATTAAAAGGACTGATCTTTTTTTCTATTTCAATCGATTTGTTATATTTTAAGAACTTTTAAACACACAGCGTGCCCTTTTGGTTGGTATGGACCTGGTTGTAATTACAAATGTGTTGGACATTGTAAAAACGGTTTGTGTCATCACGAGTTGAACAGGTGTGTTGACGGATGCGCCTCGGGATGGATGGGAGAAATGTGTAGTAAAGGTAGCTAGATGTATACGTTCATATTAACTTATTAATATAGCATACTAATATTTTGGTAAATCATTTTAGTTTCCATGAAGTGTACATATTTCCATCTACAAACATTCCTTGTTTTGTTGGCTTCTTTTAACCAAGCTTATTAAGAGAATCTGTATCCCCTCCTTAAAGAAGAAAAGAAAAGCATTCAATCTAAAGGGGGGGGGAGGTTTTTGAGGGGGGGGGGTATTTTAAGAAGAGTGAGCGGAGCCGCAGGGAGTTATGTTATGAAATTTCATTGTAAAAACTCAAAAGCGTCTTGAGATATCAGTAGGAAATTACATTTATACACAAATATATTTTCTAAATTTATTATCTTAACCTTTGACCTTTTGACGTCAAAATCAATATAGGTGTTCCTTTGTTCATAAGGTGTTGTATGTAAACTTGTAAATGTATGCAAAAGCTCTAAGGCTTCTGGAGATATCCAGCGAAGCAGAAGTGTTACAAAGAGAAATACAGACCGACTGACACACCGAAAATAATATCCCCAACTTTCAATGAAAAAA